CTAAAAGCTGACTTAACAGATATGATGAATGCGTTTTTAACTGCGATTTGGCTTTAATTGGCTTATTTTCAGTGCTTTATTTCTATCTATTTGCTATTTTCTTCTAAAGTTATGAACTGAAATATAAAAGATTGTTTAGTTCATTCATTCAATAAGCAAACATTTATTTCCTTATCAGCTTCAAATAGACACTGTGCGAGAATTTCGTAGGAACTTTTGTTGACTGCTAGTGAGTGCTAGTTTGTTTCATTTATTTGGATTAATTTTGAAAATCGTAAAGGGGCTTTCTTTAGCTATCGCAAGAAAAGGATCTGTAAATCATTATTTTTCTTTAACCGTCTTTTCTTTTCTTTTCAAAGACTGAAATGCTGAAAGGCCGAATATTTGAAGGTTAAACTTAGCGAAAGGTTGGTTGATAAAAACGCGTTTCTCCATTCGGGTTCACATTTCAAATATCACTTTTGAAATATGTTTAAATGTTTTGTATCTTTAACGATCTTGAACGATCTTTAAAATTTTCTTTTAGCAGACATCGATTATGGTCCCGATTTTCACCATTTATTAATCGTTGGCACCAACTTATTAGAGGTCTTATTGAAGGCTACTGATAGCAGCCTGGAGACCAGACACAATCGTTGGCACCAACTTTGAGCCAAATATGCTAATTTCCACTTCGTCCGTTTATTTTTAAAATTTTTTATATTCTTGAACATAAATAAAAATGAGTGATGTCAAACTATAAAATTTTTCAAATAAACGCGTTGTAAGAAAATATTAAGTCGAAATCGTTGCTTCATACGTGTTTGACCTTGTGACTTCTAAAGAAACCTTCAGATTCTTCAGATTTATTCTGGCTTAAATTTGAAATTTTATTCGAAATTTCATAATTCCATTTCGTAATGTTATCCACTTTAAAATGTTTTATTTCTTCTAAATCCGTGGTTTTCCCATCAAATCTCTCATTGAGAAATTAATATCTTTTTAAAAATTTCAATTAATTAATTAATTTATTATTATTATTATCATTAATTATCCAAATGCCTCGTCCTTTATAGTTAGAATTTTCCCAATGGAATTTTTATGTCAGATGATAATTGTTTTTTTTAATGAATTTTTCGCACAATAGAGATCAAATTAATAAATAACTATAAACCTAAGCAAGTATCCGAGTGGCGCTTAAAAATTTTTAAACGTAGTAATCAGTAGCCAGCGACTCCAGCATAATCAGATGATGAGAACTTATTTATTTTTCGCATTCGCTGTAAAGCAATGATTTAGCAGAAAAAAATTACCATCTCAGCCGTCAAATTTGCAATTGAAAGATATAGTTTATCCTTTTTGCGGAAAAGTAATAGAAAATTAGACTTTATCAAAAAAAATGAATATTATTATTAAAGTAAATTAATTTTTTACGATGCTAAAATTAATTATTTGTAGTTTGAGTAATTCACGAATGTCTTTGAACACTTTCAATGGCTTTTCTTTAAAATTCATTTATTATATTTACTATTATCATATCACATGTTAGCAGTAACTTTTGTTTATTTGTCCAAAATGTATTATTATCATTTGTAAAGAAGTGGTTAGTGCTCACTATTTTCTGTTAGGTTTATTCCACTGGCTATTAGTAAAGTGAGAAATCTTTGTTAGAAAATTACTTGGCGATAGAAATATAGGTATGTCACTCGCCAGCACCACCGCATTTTTAATGGATATTTGCTCCTGTCGGCAGCAGAAGTCCAGAGGCCTCACATTACGATTTTCTGAACCACTATTTACTCGGTTATCTCGGTCAAAATTAGAAACTGTTTATTTATACGCTAGTTTTAAATAATATCATTATTAATTCTATTTTATCTCTTTTTGTCATTTTAACGAACTTACATGGATAAAAAGTCTAAAAGATTCGTTGTTTCGTTGTGATTTGTTTTTTTAAAAAATCTGTTATTCCCGATTTTTATGAAAGAAAGAAATTGTTGAACCTCCAGAGGTACTCTTTTTGGTCGTTTCTATAGTATTATTTGAATAATTCGATAGAGATCATCCATCCATTTTTTTTTCTTCCATAGTTATTCATCGATTAGGATTTTGTAAAGAATGAAGCATGCAAGTAGAGGAATTTGAGAAAATTGAAATGCATATGAAGGTCGATTCTTGGCCTAAATTTTATCTCTTATTTGACAAGGAATTAAATAGGAATTTTTTTTCTAATTTTTCCAAAAATTTCATAACTTTTCCATGGATTTTTGTTATTAGCCTTAGCAGGAATATGCAGATTTTGATTTACACTGCATATATTTGGGAATACTTTGTCAATTTTTGATATGAAAAACCTGTTTTTCGCATAAAATGTCGCTCAGAAATGATTTTAGTAGAGGAAGAATTTACCGATCAGTTCATCCTCTTCAATTTCATACCACTAAATTCCTTTTTCTCCACCTTTTTGTCTTTTGCTGCAAATATTATTGTTATTGTTCGCCGGTGATATGCATAAATTATTTCGCGGTATGGGAATCCAGTTTCAATCCGCGTAATCGATCAGTCTCGTTCTGGACCATAATTAATAAATTTTAAAATGCATAACTTTTTCGAAAATTCTTTGAGAATTTATTAATTTTGTAGAAGCGATAAAAACCATTTCAAAACTTTTAAAATGATTTATTTCATCCAGTGTTTTCTTCTTTTTTAGTTAGATTTAGTCGCTGGCTTGTCGAACCGGATGAATTTTGCTGAATCACTTGGTGATAAAAACTTAGGTGGGTCGCCAGTGCAAATTTTTGAAAGGTTTACTGCAGGACCTACGCATTCCTAAATAATTCATTTTGCCCCTCCATCCCTAAAGCATACTCTTATTAAATATTTATTATTTGTCAGTAATGATGAAATACTGAAAGTATTAAAAATAAAGAAGAAAGGCTGATTTAACTAAAGAATTTTTTTGATATTTCTGCTCGAAATACGGAAGAGCTTTCTAGCCTTAACTGAATGAATAATGTCTTGGTGAAAATATTTTTTTTGGCGTTCTTATTCCTTTGCATATTGCATTTATTAAAAACAGGTTCAGTATTTTACTGTTCTTAGAAAATAATGTTTTCTAAGTATTTCTCAAGAAAAAAACTTATTTACTTCCATAATTCATTTTCAATTAATGATTTCACTTCACTTATCTTTTTGTTATATTATTAAAAATTTAATAGGTAAATAGGTAAAAATAGTGGAAATGGCAATTTTTATATTCCATTTTTCTAAAACTTTTTCAACTTGCCATTCAAATTGTATTCTCAAAGTAATAATTCGTGAAAGTTATTTATCGCGATATTATTATTATTATTAAAATTTTACTCGCAAAATATCAACAAAGATGGGGTGATCGAATCGTATTTTGATTTGGCTAAGGCTAAGCTACCATAGATTCGATTCCTATCTCTTGGTGAAGCAATTAAAAGCGAAATTCGGTTGAAGACTTAGACTGCCTCTGTTTCCATCTCCCATGTGACCATATGGCCTATGGGCTTATTTAAATAGCCATTTAAATTTCCCAAAGTTATTTAAAAGATAAAAATATTGTAATGTGTTGATGTGTTAAATAATCATTATTTTTCATTTATTATTTGCAACGACTGAAGTGTACTCAAATTGAAAAATTAAGCGTAATATTGAATCACATTGCCTCTGGCTATCTCGTTAGAGTAAAATGAAAATGAGGTTGTGGAATAATCCGATAAATGGCCTTCAAGCGTTTTCCCATTTCCATTTTTATGCTCTTATTATCCCATTAAGCAAAAATATCGGAAGACTCAGTACAGTATTCACAAGATTCACCATTTAAACCAGATTAATAGTAACATTCCCCCGCTACGATTCTTTTGTTCTTTGTTAAACCAAAATGCCAATAGATAACCTACAATTCGAAATTAAATACATAATTACCAATAATCCAAAGATAATAAAACCGTAATAAATTCCGCTAATGATTGTCGCTTACCATTTTAGGCTCTCCCTTTGGCTTTTAATATTTGTCAGGAAATCATTTGGATGAAGATAAATTCAGGTGGACTCTCAGAACCATGGAATTTTTTATGGCTGTTCTTGTCGAATTTCGAACATTGATAAGTGTCACCTGATATTTGCTTCAAAATGGATAATCGAAGTAATTTTTGCTTGCCTGCAGAGAGAAGTGAAAATTCAATACGTGGAATCATTTCTAACTGATTTGTTAGCTGAATTCCTACGATACGACCATATTAAACCAAAGTTTCTACGAATTCTCCAGAGCCAATTGCTAATCGGCACTGGTTCGGCAGATAATATGGCCCGAATGATTAAATACTAATCTAATCGCTGTAAAATTCTATTTGGACTAATTTGGATTGCGATTCAATTTGTCTTTCTTATTTAGAATATTTTTTTCATACTATTAGTGGTTCTTTTGCCGTTCATTCTTCATATTCCTTTTTCATTTATTATTTATCTTTTACTTTATTTATGAAATGATTTGATTTCATATTTGATATTAAGTTTAAAAAACAAGGAACGAACGATTTTCGAACTTTTCAAATCCCTTCAATTTTGTGTGTTAAATTCATTTAAATTCATTTATTGTTTTTCTGGAAAATAGTAATGAATTTTGAGTTATTGAATTATTCGTTGATATAAGTATATTATCCTATTATGTCATCGTTCATAAATTGGAAATATTCATATCGCATTTACTATATTAGTTGAAGATTGGAACAAATCCAGCGATACTAATAAAGTTTCAGGAAACATTTGAAGCTATTATGGTAGCAGTGCCATACTGCCGATGCCGCGTGCTCTATATTGGAAGTGCTGTGCCAACGATCACTAAAGACGGTCTTCAAGGTATTCAACAGCCGTTAAGAGAACGCTATCCTGTTGACGAGGGTGCTGATACAAAAGGAATTGATTCATGGTGAACAAATTTTTATTCTAAAATATTCCGATGGGGAAAATGATATATGAAAATATTTTTTATCAACATGGCTTATTCTTTATTTTATAAGTTTTAAACGTGCTTTTTTTGCGGGGAATTCAGAAACTGTTGGCCGTAAATATCATATTTCTTTGGTTTTTTACATCATTAAGGTCATTGCAAATCTTTTAAATAAAGATCTTCGTACAAAAAATAAAAACTGAAAATTTTAGGTTGTCAGTTTGGTCCAATGGCATTTTGTTGGAGTATATCGATGGGGACAAGAAAACTGAAAGTGCTTTTCATCCAATTAATTCCTTGCATTATTGTGCTGCTGTACGCTATGTAAATGTCACTGGTTATGCTATAGAAGGGGGAGGCGAACGATTTTTACCGCTCGATTCACCATTTGCTAGTAGTGACAACTCTCGTCATCCACCAATTTTCGCTGCTATTTTTCGACGCACAACTGGTATAAAGGTATGCAGAGTAAAATAGAATGTCAAAAAAATTCCACGATGGATTTAAGAATATTTTAAGAATATTTCTTTAAGAATATTTGTTCTCGAAATTCATTGAACAGATTTAAAAATTAGCAGTTTCCTTATAAAAGCAAAAGAAATTCATTTTTTCCGAATAGATTTGGCTGTTCGAAAAAGCAGATTAGAAAGCATGGAAAGCATGGGAATAGAACTTCAATAGTCGAGGTCCTTCACCTTGTACCAGCTCTATAGTTCCCTATTATTCAGGTACTTGAATGTCATGCATTTATCTGCACAAATAGCAAGGCAGCCAATGCACTTGTTCGTTGTTGCTTCCATTCATATGCCGAATCGATGTATGTTAAGTTGGAAGAACGTATTCCTGGACTAAAGGCTATCAAGGAAAGCAGTAGAAGCGTAAGCCCTCATAGCGAGCGCCCTTCCAGGTTTTCATTACTTCTTCAACAATATTTTCTTCTTTTGAGATTATAGATTTTTTTACTGCATCAGCCACTTAATCCAGGGAACACCTTAAGAAGGAAATGAGAATAGTTTTTCCAGAAGCTGCTTCAAAGATTTTAATTTAATATTTTTTTCCGCTTTTAAACTTCAACGAATCGATAATGTGCCAGAAAAAATCCAAGTATTGTAATGATCTAATATTGTCATTTATCCAAATTTTCTACTTCAATACTTTTATGATATAAACTAACACATTTATGGTGCAGACCACAAATGACTGTGCATTTATGGTCAACATTGCTCATTGTCGTCGATGAAATAAGAGCCTATCAGCACTTTAAAAGACCGTTGAATAATCGTTGTATACCTAAAAATTTTCAGTGTCGCTGATATATTGCCCGTCGAAGAAGACAAGGAACAGCGCTGGGCAGAAAGAGCAATCGGCAAAGAAGCATGGGAGCGAAGGCAGCAGTCTGGCGAATATGATTCTGCAAGTATTTCATCATCAGTTGCCAATCGTTTTACGCATCGAAAAAGCGATCGAGATCATCATCAAGGCTCGTCATTGCATTCACCATTACTTATTTTCAAAAATCTGTCAACAATCAGGGTTTTTTCGCCATAATTCTTGACAATAATCTCAAAGATTAAATAGGAGCTGGAAAATTCAATTATTTTTCCTTCATTTTCCACTATGGCTAATTTTTTATAAATACCTCTTTTTTATATGAATTCAGAATTTCGTATATCCTTGTCCTTTTTTTATTTTACATTTAACATTTCTTATTTTAACAGCATTCGCCATTTCTGATTTTGCTGGCTCTGCCGGCTATTAGAATGTCACTTCTTCGTATGGTAATCACATGAGGATAGAAATAAGAAATATGAGTTCTCAAAACTCTTTGGCTTAAATCGTTTAAATTACTTACTCGATTTGTTGAAGTGAGTTGCATACTGTTCGCTAAATCTGCTTCATTTAATTTATTAATTTATCCTAAATATCAAAAACTTTGAAAAACTTTTCTAAGACATTGATGAATTTGTATATCATGGCATGAGTAGTATTATTTGTTATCATGGCATGAGTAGTATTATTTGTGGCCACTTTTATTATCCGTCATTTTTCCCTATTCCAATCCGATAGAGAATTTTTTGATATTATTTCAGTTATGTCGGCTGGATTCGCTGTTTTCGTCATTTTCACTATACTTAAAAAACTTAAAAAATTAAACTTAAAAAATGTGCCAAGAAAGAATTTTAGTAGAATGAAAAGAATTTTAGTAGAATGAAGACATGTTGGTCTAATGATAGTTCTTATAATCTTAGAGCAACAGTTCCAGCAAGATTTTCCCGTAAATTCCACTTGTTCCAGCGCAACTTTCTCAAACATCCTCGTCCTTTTTAATTTTATCAGCAGTTTCATGTGACGGATTAATGTTTCACTTCTGTCACTTATGTCATTCGCAATGAATTTTATCTTTTGACAAATTAATCATTTGACCTTAATCTTGTGCTTCTTTTAGGTCACTTTTAAATTTTAGATCGTTTATAAATCATTTTATCATAAAATTTCTTTGAAATTCTGTTATTTTATATTTTATATGAAGGAATATATCTCTCGGAATGCTGATTTGAATTTTTCTAAATAATTTAAATTATTTAATATCCAAGGCAATGTCGATTAATGAATATTTTACACTAAAAGATGCAAACCTGCAATACCTATCAATATTACAATCTTTCTTCGGTGTCAAGGTCGTATATTATTTTCTCGTCGATCGACAAAATTAAACAGAATTCCTTTATATTTACTAAGCATTCTTGCAAAACGATTTAAGAATAGAAAAAATAATGCATATTCAACATTATCTACTTAGTTATTTTTTTCTGTTCTTTTTTCATGTTTTTCTTATTTTCAGCTATTTTCGGACGAAATTCTACCTATAGAGATTAAGAGCATACAATTGAGAAATATAATTTATATATATATATATATATATATATATATTTATTTATTTATTTATTCAAGCTCATTTTTAACTGGCTATTAACAAAAAATTTTTGACGAGGAATCATTTGAAGACAGGAATTCAGGTAGATCGCCATCGCCACCCACGTTCTGTCGGGCTTGTCCCCGTCGGAAACAGGATCTGAATTCTGACGGTCGCTCGGCTATCCTGTCTCCATTGTAAATACGTGAAATAGTGAATATGATTCATATGAAATTTGAAACGATATAGGACTACACAGTTTTTTTCGTACTAAATATGAAGAATGGTGAACATAATTTTAAATGAGCGAAATAGGATGGTTGAATATCTTTGGTACAAAACTTACCACTAATAATGAAATCCTGGCGATGCTAATGAAACTTCAGCACTTCTATCTAGTCGCTGGCTCGCTGGCCAATTGATCTCATCCTAACAGATAGTTTAGAAATGGTGGCTTTTAGAAGAAGAAATGAACAGAATAGAGTCAGAGAATTGAAATTGCTTAGCTTATTAAAACCAAATTATTTTTTAAAAAAAAGTGAGGCTGATTTTTCAGTGGATTATTTCAATATACCCTTATGCTTTTTATAGGCGATACTGCATTGGTTCCATACAGTGGCTCCGAAATACTTGGTAGAAGAGCCGGCAGCGATATTGATGTCACATACGGTGATCAGTCGATTCCAGGTTAAGCAAAATTTTTTATTAATCAGATAAATTTACGGCAATAATTTCTGATTGTTCTTATTCTAATACAACAATCGATGCCAAGCAAAAATAGATAGAAGAATGAATAGACGAACATTGAAAAAATGTAAGAAATTTTTCACGAAAGAATTTAGAGATTTTTTTAGGATTTTATCCTGGTGTGCCGCCACATATACGTGGATCAATGCCTCCACCGTCTGCTATGATGGGTCCAGCGCATATGATGATGCGACCACCAATTTTCTTACCGTTTCCTCCTCCTCATATGATGCCACCTCCTCCACCACTACACATACTGCCACCATTTTTCGGTTATTTTTTTTGAAATGAAACCAAAATTTCCACCAAATTATGAAGGAACGATTTTGATCAACTGTTTGTTGAGTCATTTTTTTTCTGATCGTTCTTTCTAACCTATGATATTGAAATAGGCAATGTAATATGTAATATTGAAATAGGCCATGAGAATTCATGAATTTGCAAAGAAAAATTTTTGGCTGCGATCAAAATTTTTTTTATTACAGGAATATCACCGAGATTCCCTCCTGGTATATATCCACCACCCATGGGATTATTGCATCCACGATTCATGCCACCTTATGGGTCGATGCCACCACATTTGGGTCGGCCACAAAGTCCTAATGAAGGCCCAATAATCACTGGTCCAGAATCAGTCTATGGAACACTCCCAAGACGTTCTGCATTCGAAGAGCCAATTTATATGCCCGGAAATGCTCCTTATACGCCTCCTCAAGCAAGTTATCAGCCCGGTAGTTATCCAGCTGATCAATATGACGCCTATTATGACACCTATAAGAAACAGCGTTCACCACAGTATGCCAAAGAAAAAGTAGGATTATTTATTATATTTCTATATTTTGTTAATATAATAATTTAATTTTTGATTAGAATTACGAATAGATATTCTTCTTCTGGCTCTGCCAATATTATATTATGTCACAGTACAATACTACGATACGAGAATACAGTGATGCCCAACGCCACTCGGTTTTTCTTTTAACGATAGGCTTATTTATGTCAAGAAGGATGAAATTGAACCATATCGTACCGCATGTAAATAATAAATAATAAGTGTAAAAGAGTAACTTCTTTCCCATATTGTTTCAAAAAAAAATTTGAATTATTGTATCTTAGCAACTCAATTGTTTTGGGAGAAAATTGAAAAATTTCTTTTAGTTTTCCTTTGCACTCGTAATAAGACATCTTTTTAAGTCAACAGGGTCACAAAGCTCGAGACGAGGAACGAACTTAGATCAGGACGAATCCTCAACATTTTGGGATGCTTATGAATCGAACGTATACAGAAAACCACATATTAACGAAAAAGTATTGTTTGAAAATTTCTCTACAAATTCATCAAATATTTCATGTATTTTATAATAAAATGGTTTCATCTAGAATAAGTTTTAATATATGTTCCCTAGTATTGGACTATTTTTCTTTCTTCTTCCTCATTTGATAGCATCTTCTTCTTCTTCTAATAGTTCTCACCATTACTGGACAGGCTGGCTGCGCCGGCTACAAGGGTAAGGCGTTTCCAAGCTGCGCGATCTGATGCAATCGTCGATAACAATAGAAACCGTTCTTTTTTTCTACCGTCAAAATTGCTGTCCCATCTATGAATCCAGAATCTTTCCTGAACTATTTCAGTCCAGGTCTTGCTTGATTGGTCCTCCTTGCTTTTCACACCATCCATCCATCACAGGGATAGTATATATCATTTCGCTGTATACACTGATTATTTGGATCGGCCAACTTTATCAGAAGTTTGAACAGCACCACAGAAATTTTCCTCAGTATCGCCTTATATAAGTTCATTTGGAATGAAAAGTTTAATCTTCAAGTCAAAGTGCAAAAATAAAACCAAAGATATTTGACCTTAACGGATTATTATTTAAGATAAAATGACTATTTCAATAATAAATCCACTGGTGAGGCAACTTTTCGTGGCGAAATTTTCATTTTTTATTTATTGGAAAAACTGATTAATATGAATGTTTCCCAACTGAGTTAACGTTTATTAAATTTGGTGCTATTAATATATTATTGAGATTATTTAATAACCATCTCTGAGATGCTATGCATTGAAAATATAATTTTAATGTTAATATTAATTCTATATCAAATTATTGATGAGTATTTTGCTTGTTACGAAAAGTTATGATGGCACCAAAAAGTTTTGTTAGGAGCCGCTTCATAACTTTTGGCAACTAAACACTTAATCCAGCAGTATAGACTGAATATGAAAATGCTGGCAGTCTATGGATATTGTTATTTTATGGTGAATGCTATCCCAGGCATTCTGCGCTACAGCAAGGTCAATGCCAAATATGGTAAACGAATCAACAATGGTTACAGAAGCTGATGTAGTCAGGCCTGAAACGCCACCTGCTGATTATGAAACAGCTTTCGATTCCATGCATATAAATAAATCAAATCAGCAACGGACTACTGCTGTTATGTATTAATTATTATATCATCAATGTGATTTTTATTTGCCGGGACAATCAACCAACGAATTATGAATTATGAGCTGAGGCCCTCACATTAAAACAATCGCTTTAGAAAACGAAAAACGAACAGTACCGAGTTAACATGAAGAAAACCTTCTTAGTCCCTTTCTTCCTCTGATTCTGATAATGTTATCATGTTATAGAATTTATCGTTTAAAAAATTTAACACATGCAAAGAAAATGTAAAATGGATATTTTTGTATGGCATTTTTCGAATTTAAAATGGAAAATGCATTTCTCAACAAACTCATCTATTATCTTTGTGGCTAGTATGGCCTAACTAGTACGGCTTGATAAAAGGGAGCGCATTATCCATTCCCATCTGATTTTCTTGACTGCAATAATTTGTTTTAGTTGGATTTATGGAAGAAATAAATTAACATATAAATATCCATCAACCTATTATTTTAATGCTCAGTTGTATTGGCTATAAAGTGCATCAGAAATTTTCTGGAATCTATTTTCTTCTTTTTCTGGGTCTACAGTTTGCGAAAAAATTATTGTTTATGCGGCACCTTACATTGCACTATTTTAAATATGTTATCAATTCAATTTCGATTCTTCATAATTAAGTGGTTTTAAATTGGAAGATTTCCTCCATTGTAATGATTTATTTCTAACTAAATGACTGTTATGATAAGCTATCTTAACAAGTTGATCCATTAAATAATCAACATTATTTGATAAAGCTACGCATTCATTTACCAAGCATTTGATTAAATTGTGTTTAAACATTTTAATTATTGAACCTTAATTGTTCAATATGATCATTTATTGCTCCTAAATGATTTATCAATTGGTTTTTGAAAACGCTGAAGGAAGTATTCAAAAATGAGAAGATCGCCGGCCACACAGCCTCTTAATAATATTAACCTTCAATCTTGAACCGAATTCAGTTGCTCATATAGTTTAGAAATGTTTCATTTCCAGGTTATATTTTTATTTTTTATTTTTCATTTTTTATTTTCATAACTAATGCGATGAGGTGAAACTTAAGAATTCCATTGTTCGCAAGACAATTTTTATCTATCATTTCATTATTTTTGATAAATATTTTATACTTTTAAGTACTTGAAGAACAATAGAGGAATTGTTATTTTTAACCATTATAATGGGAATGCAATACATACATTCATATATTCATTCATACATACATTACATACATTCATTTTGCTATAATATAATTTATTTATTATATAAGATAAATAAAAATAAATAAGATTGCTTTAAAAAAGTGATAAAAATATTTTAAATGGAAAAGATTGTGTGTGATTTCCATGATATGTTTCGATGTTTCAATTTACAAGAATTTTTCCTAAATAAAACACGATAATTATTTGTTCGGAATGTTAAATGAAAATTCTTCAAACCTATTTTTAGTAATTTCACGATTTTCTATAACTAAGTTTGCATTTTCTGAGCCAATTAGAATAACAATTAGAGAGTATAAGAGTAGTTAAGGTGCAAAATTGATAAATTAATGAATTTTTTTGTTTTAATTCGTTAAAATTTATATATTTTTATATAATAATTTTATATTAAATTTATATATTTAAAATTTATTTCATTTAAATTTATTGCGTTAAGCTGTGGACGCTGAGTAGTTAAAAAAAAAACAATTGGAAGTCACCATTTCTTGTTAGACTAGCTCTACTCCTTAAAATCAAGAGAAATTTTTAACAGGAAATTAAGTGGGGATGGAAGTATAAATGAACCAATCCCTACACCAATCGGATTTTTAATGACATATTCAGCTCTACTGATGACAAGATCTGAAGCTTGGAAACTTCAAAATTGGCTGTACAGCCAAAGATAAGTGAAAATATTTCTAAAAAGATTTGCACAAAACTTGTGAAAGTAATATGAACTGTGTCGGAATTCAATGTTCCTCAATGATAGCCAATAAAATGAAAAAGAGAAATAAAATAAAAATTTATGAAAATAGAAACATTAAAGAAAGTTACTCCAATAATAAATGAACAATGTTCACAGATTCTGGAAAAGAATGAGTTATTAGTTTGACAAAATAGTTTGGAAAATTTCATTCAGATTTGAAATTGCAGCAACATGGCGAGATTTCAGCGATAACTGGAAAAATTGAAAAAATTAATTTTACTGGTACTGCAAATATATCTTCGCATTGTTTGCTGGAGGAATGAGGAATGATAATTAAGAAGGTAAAAGTGAACTGTCGTAATAAAATAAATAAAAACAACCGTAAGTACTGATGATGACTGTTGCATTTTTAGCTCCGACAATACATAAATTTGATTGGTATATTTTATTGAGTGATACAATAATTCTTGACCATTCACATTACGACGAGCCACGGTAAAAACATTATTTTGCTGTAGCTTCGTGCAAATATCATCTACGATAATACGATCAATTATCAATTATCAAAGTATTAAGCAAACAGCAAAAAATAATTGGCGCTTAAATATCCTCACCGAGTGAAAATGGTTAGCAACAAATGACTTATACAATGACATACATTATTCTGGAAAACGACATCTCACCGTTTCAACAGTTTCAAAAGTTTTTTCTTTCATTTTTAGGAAAAAAATTATTCCCATTTTACTGGAGCCTTCCAGTTATGCATATTTTTAAAAATGAAAAAAATATAGCAGTTAAGTCTTTTTCCATTTTGAGAAGGAGAACAAAAAGAATTAAGCATGCAACAAACAAAATATTATCTATTTAGGGAGATGGTGCTTTATTTAAAAGGAGTAATACGGTAATTTCAGAATATATATGGTACTCGACTAAAAGCATTATAAATATTAAAACCACTGCTCAACTCTTGAAATCTGATTGAGCGAATTACTAAAGCATATTAAAAAAGAATCGCATCTCTATCTGAGATTAGCTGGACAAAATATATGTGCCAAAAAAAGTGTGATTAAGTGTGTGTGATTAAAAAAGTGTGAAGTGTAAAAAAGTGTGAAAGTGTGAAAAGTGTGAAAAAAGTGTGAAGTGCAATCCATAGCGAAAAATGAGATATGTGTACTAAATGAAATACCATGAATTAAGGCCTATTTCCATCCCAACAAAATCTAAGCACTGTTAGATCGGAAAGAAATTCCCTCTAACTGAAAACCGGACAATAAATTTAAACTTGTGAGATGAAAAGAATGCAGCAATCCAGGAAAAATGCTAAGAAATGCTTTTCTTCAAGACGGTGGTAAACTCATATTCTTTCCCAGGAAAATTGAAGTGTTTTTATGCTCCTCCACGTGTTCGTATATAACACCCGCACATTACCACTCCTTGTAAAGCTTTCATGAACAAAAGTTTTAAATCCTTGGATGCAAAAAAACAAAAAAAAATCCAACAGTTCTCAGTTATAAATGTGATAAGCTTCAGGTGTCTTTAAATTGAGAGAAAGAATAACGAAAAAGTTAGGAAAAAAGAGATGCATTTATGACCAAATAATGATTTTTCACACATGAAAATGTCGCCCCTTTAATTTTCCTCTAATCGGCATAAATTTCTGTATTCTTGAATTAGGCGATGGTGATATATAAAAATAACCTCATAATAAATATCTCATTGTATAAGCAAAAATAAATCAGCTAAAAAAAGAAACATGAAAAAAAAACCTGCACTAAGATTTAAAGTATTATTCAGAGAAAACTGCAGTTCGTTTTGCTCGGGAATTTCTTTCCATAATTGCAGAAACTCTCTCTTATCCATTTGTCCATTTTCTTCAAAATATATATTTAGTGGAACGACAACAGCAAAATAAAAAACACCAACATCATTTTTGACAGCCACCTGAAACATGCTTTTAAATAGATATAAATTTATTACTGATCTAAGAACCAATATAACTGAAATTACTTGAAGATTGGTAAGTGGATCCATTTTTTGCACAGGCCCATCAGTACGGCAGCATAATGAAGCACTGTTCGATTGATTTGGATATAAAGGAGAATTTACTTGCAGTGGTTCAGCTGGAATCAGACCAAATCTGAAATATGCAAATAAAAAATGATTTATTCAGGGTATTTATTATACTTAAGTGGCTTTGGGAAAACTTACGAATTTTTATTGAATTGAATCGCGAAATTAGAAAGCGCTTGCATGGCTCGATTGGTAAAAACCATATCCATATATATACGACCACTACGACGTACAAAAGTTCCTTCAATTTGTGTTCCTTTGCCTCGACTAGCTTCCAACCAAATCTAAATTTTTTGCGCAAATCCAAAATTTATGGTAATTTATTCAACCATATTACACAAATTTTTTTTGCTAACTGAAATAAGATTCCCTCTGATATTGCGTAATACTAGCGACTAGCGACTTTTTTTAAAATAAAATTTAAACTCAATCAATAAAAAGATTGCAGAACGATAAAATTCACATTTGTTTAAGAAAATTGGGGATAAAAATATAATTTCAAATAAAAGATCTTGTCAATAGCATTGTAAATCTGAACGAAAATTTAAATGGTACTTGTATAGTAAAAAATGGTATTTTATATATCCTACGTACCGCTTTTGGAGCAATATAACCAGATTGAATACCAATCGCCGATGATGCAGTGGAACATACGCCAAAGATATCACCAAATTCAGGCGTAAATGGATTGGATGATGCTGGTATAACTGGAAGTCCTGTTGATGCTGTTGGCGGCATAACGGAAGCAAAAGGCTGAGCAGATTGACCGAAAGGCTGAGCTGCATTTACAATCCCAAATGAAGGAGCAGATGATTGGGTCAAAACAGTCGGTGGTGAAGTTGCACCGCTTATATCACCAAGCAATCCATCCGATCCGAGACCTAGCAGGTCATCCAATCCTGAAGAAACAGGTGCTAGCTGGTATGAACCCAATCCCATTTCTGAAATCATATTCTTTAATCTACAAATTTTTCATACAATTTTTTTTTCTAAGAGAGTTCACCGTTATTAGTTACAGTCGCTCCCCTGGTTTGTCGAATCAGATAAATTTGGCCAGAGAATCATTTGGTTACAGAAATACAGGTGAATCTAATATAACCTAGATTTATAAAGGATCATTTCTACTGGCTGTAGAAGCTGTAGAACATCGGAGTTCCCCAACTGAGCCATTCTACCGCCTTCATAGAGAATTATTATTAAATTGAACTGCTACTGAAATAAAAAATAAAAGGTAAATAACTCGATGAAATAAAAATTTCTGGCAAAATATCACACGAAGTCTTACCAGGATGTCCAGATCCTGCAGCATTCAAATCAAGTGATAATAAATCAGCAATAAGAGTGTCCTGTGATGGTATAACAGTTGGAGCAGCAGTTTCTGCTGTTGATCCAGCGCGATTATTGGTGTCACTTGATACCGGTGCGACTCCACTGAAATGAAACGAAAATTTTATATTTTATTTCGATATATTTTATATCGAAAAATGAGAAAAAAATTATAAATTGTTATATAGATAAACATGTTTGAATCCAGAATACGACAACTGCACCAAAAAATATAGCATTTTAACAATTGATAAAGCAATGATAACCAAAAAATAAAACAATATACCAAAAATGACCACAATAGACTCGATAAATTTTACCTAATGGTAGCAGCTGCAGCACGCAATGGATGTTTAGCAGAATCAATGAATGAGCTAGGAGGTTTATGATAGACAGAAGCTAGAGATCCAATGTGACAAACTAACTGATCCAATAAAGAAGGTTCTAAAAGATCGGTTTCTTCTGAGATTAAAGGTTTTTCGGCTAAAACCACCTGTAAGAAAAATTTGAACGTAATAGACATGGAAATAAATTTATAATAAAATATAAACTAATGAATAAAGATAAGATTAAGTAGACCTCTTTAGCCGCAACTGGATCAGCACTTAAAAGGCGCCAGTAAATATAACCTCGATCACGTAAGTCAGGATTATCGCTATCTTGAGTAGCAAGAGATAAAACACGTTGTACGAGTTGTTGTGTATCACTAGGTCGCTTCAAAAATAATTTAACAACTGCAGTTAAGAGTTGCAATTGGACCTAAAAAAATTTGGAACAAATAGATTCTAAAATTAGTTATTAAAACTTTTGATAAGAACAATACTGGTGATAAAATTTCTAAAGGAACTGTAGCACTAATAATCTGCTATCATGTAAAAAAATAACTATGGAATTAACATATTTTGAAAAGACAAGCGATAAAAGCGAAAAACCTGTGTATTTTCATCATGAAAGCCTTCTACGAAAGATTCCAGCAATTCATCAGCATTATCAATTCGTTCAGCATATTCTCCAATAATCCAAATCATAGAGGCTCTGGCTTCAGGTTCATCCAAAGTATCGAGATTCTCACATAATGTTGAGATAATACTCTCATATTTATTGGGATATTTTCGGAAAATATCCTAAACTTTAAAAAAAAATATGGAAAAAATGAATCTTCGCTCGAATGAATTTGAATGAATTCGCAATAAAAATTAGAAAATATTGTAAAACCGCTCTTTAACCCTTGAAAAACGTATGAAACATATGAAACATAAACGTACTTTTTTACATATTATTTATATTTAGTAAAATGAAATAAAATTTCCAAATTTAATCTCTATTAATTGTTTTATTAATATAAAAATAAATATAGATATAAAAAATAGTATAATATAATATTAATATAAAAAAACAATCTTAATTTTCCTCAATAAAAAAAAAAAAATTAGAATTTCCAAAACCTATCGCAATATCGAAAAACCTATCGCAATATCGAAAACCAAGATCATTTGAACCGCAGTAATAATACTAACTTTAATGACAACAACAGCTTCTTGGACAACATAATTTACTTTTGTTTGTATCAAATCAAGTAATGTACAAACACAACGTTCCGCGCTTTGTTCAACTTTGATTGCACATCGACCAATAGCCCTTACAGCTTTTCTTACAAAATCAACGTCGACTTCAGTTGCATATCTGATAAAAATGAAATCTCGAAAAACACATGATTATTTTCTATGTAATTTAACAAAAAAACTATCTGCTAACGCTTCACTCGATACTAAACTGATGCTTGCCAGAATTCAACTTCTAAAAATCAAAATTTAACTTACTCTTTAAGTTCGCTTAGAACTTGCGAAATATTACTGGGTTGCGCTAATCTAATCATTATATCCAATTTTTCCATCTTCACATAAATTGGATCATTGTATTTGACGAAAAACACTTTCATTTCTTGCTTGAGAATATCCGGGCTTTAAAAAAGAACTATAAAAATATAAATGGCAACTGGATAAAAGAATGACTTTTCTCCACTGGAAAACAATATCTTAAATGAATAAATGGTGAACAAAGCTATACACATTATAAAAAGTAAAAATGAAACCGCTTTTGAACAATCAAGTTTATGTTCCGTAGTGCCACATATTGAATTTCAGGTTCAGCCGATAAAAGAGTAACCATTGGTGGAGCCAGTTTCTTTGTTAATTGACCGATGAATTCTGAACCTTCTGGAAGTATTTCCACCAATTTCATTAAGACCTTTACAGTGGATAGTACTACGGCAGCATTGGCATGTGCCAATCGAGGACTTATGCGCTCGCAAATACTGGAAAAATATTCATGAAACATTTAAACATTCTAATAAATTTCTTAAAACTTGCTTAAATTATACGTTCAATGACTTCTAGGAGTGGTTCTGAAAGTATTAAATCCACACTGTGGTGCTAACTGCATATCAAGTAGTTCAGCTATCTCTTGTTATAACAGTGCGCATGTCAAGAAACCCTGGCTATCGCATAAGTATGCGACATTATTGGAAAAATCTTTATTGGAAAGACGTGGTCCTAAATATGGCTGTATGGTAACAGAAAACTATTTCGACTTCTCCATAAAGCAATTCTAATTCGGTAAAATTAGTGGAGTAATCCGAGATGGTGCTCTCAAAGATTTTCAGGTTTTCAAATTCCAAGAGATCTTTGAAGATCCTTGAGAATTTTCTTTACTAAAGTTAACTACGATCGTCTTGAACATCATCTTGAACATAGCCAAAAAGCTGGTCATATATTTGCAAATGCGAGCCATCAATAGAGTATCCGTCATCAGAAAATTAAGACTAAAATAAAGCTTTCAAAGATGGGCTTTGAAAATTTTCATTTCCTCTCTTGTGGTACAGAATGATGCATCCTAATTAAACTGGATTCAGATAAATAGGCCGATGTACTGACCAAATATTCATGCTGAGGAGGGTGGCAGATCAGCAGCGCTCTGGAGGGTGATGGAGTACGACAATGTTTCAAAGCAGATAATTCCACTTATAGAGGCACATGTTAGTATGGGAAATTCTTTCAAAATAAGAGCTGGTATCACAGCATCTCCCTCTGCCCTATAACATTCAACTATGCGATAGAATGAATTATGAATAATGAAATTATCTCTTCTCGGCAAATGAACAATCAAGAGGTATAAAAAAGTGATAAGAGGTGGCTTTGCCATTGTTTTCTTTATTTCTATATTCCTATAATAGTATCGATTAATTCGCTCAGGTTCTTTGAATTTAAAAAAAAATAAAACAAATTAAAAATTTTTTTTTTATTATAAATTCAATAACTTCGCAATTTTCAGAATTATGCCTGCCTGTTGAAAATTCGTTTCCATCATTCTTCCACAGCAGTAAGTAAACCTGGTTCTGACAAAAACTACTGGTAAAACTATTGTCAAATGCAGATGCGGATAACTCAGAGACAAACTGAATCACAATTGTCATTCCCGAAAGGATCCAATAAGCTCTTATCATATGAAACCCTAATAACCGGTTGGCCTATCGAAATTCATTTAAAAGCAAATTTTGCAATATCTTGGCCATTAATGCTTATGTCCTAACGTTTAACACGGATGATGAGGATAAAGAGATTCCATGATGAACTTGATTTGCTAATAGCATCATCCCAAAAAATGATGAGGATATTCGCTGGGACGCCTGCGTAGGACATGAAGCGGTCCCACAATCTTCTGTGGGCAAGTATAATACTGAAACCTAGGGTATCTTCTCTGTTTTGCCAATGAACTTTTCGCCACCAATAAATTCTTTCAGCATTGCAGAAGACATTTGGTTACGTGGAACTCATAACACTCGAACCTGACTGACTTTACTTTGGTCAATGGAAGATCTCGATAGCCGTGTGCATAATTGAGTTCCTCGCCAGATTATGAATAGAACCAAGATTCGATGATAACACAATGTCTCCCAAAAATTCTTTGCAAAAATTATTTGACTAGTTTAGATTCTAGAAGAAATTAATATATTTAAAATTAAAATTATTTATTTAAAATTAATTATTTAAAATTAATTAATAATTAAGAAGAGCTACTAAAAGACTCAAACAAACTCAATATCTCCAAAACTATCACGGACAGCACTGGTCTCATTTGAAATCTTGTCTCTCGGAATCAACTAAATCTACCTTAGAATCATGATTCGGAAGAAAAGCTAAGTTTTAGACGAAACGGTGCAGCTGTCCAACTGTGCTATCCAACGCTGTCAGAGCGCGCGTTAAGAAATACAACTATAGGCAACTCGCACAGGTCACGGTGAAATAGAACAAAAAACGATATTAGAACGATAAGGAATTTTGAAGACAGAAATTAAATAAGCATTACTCTACCTACTTTGCAAAGCAACTGAACCTCGAGAGATTATCAGTAAAATGATTGAAGATGGAATCCCACTAAAATTGTCAAAGCCCGATAAGATTACCAAAGATGGAGAGAGTTCTTTGAATCTAAAATTAATACGAAGGACAAGCCATCTCACATCCCAGAAATAACTGGAATACATTCAGAACCGTACGATTGCAATTCCAAACCACCAATGAAGCATGAGATAACCTACGTAATCTACTCTACTATCTTAGGACCAATAAAACTTTTGGAGAAAATGATTCAAATATTGTCCTTCATAATGCAAGAAAGATTATATTCATTGTGATTTGAACTACAGTTTTACTTCCAATTTCCCAGAAAAGTGACAGGACATACTGTGATTATCGAGAGATCAGCTAACATATTTCCTTCACATAGATGTCTTTCTTTTGTTGAATAGACTCATGAGAACGATAGAAGAAAAAGTCTTAACCAAGCCCGATTTACTGTAGCCGTATTAACCAAATTTTCACAATTAGAAGAATACTGGAACATCGAGTATGTATGTATTTCAAGTATTGATAACCCACTGCTTCATCGACATGGCTTTTGATTCAATTAAGAATGCACTCTGGTAATTCATGAACATGACATTCTTATACAGAAGTTAATTAGACTTATAAGAAATATTTTACGAGTAAAGTACGAAGAATTGCAACAGATGCTAAAAGATAGGCAGCAATAGCGAAAATTGACCCTCAATCAAAGTAAATAAGATTTTTTCACCTTATAACCAAATTCTGATAAGATCGCAATTTATATAATTATACCAAGTGTCAGACTTGAAATATCTCGGATCCATTCATATATATCGTATGGCAAAACCTCTGGAATCGCAACGAAATTATCCTCAAAACAACTGAGAAACTTGGCAAGTGAATGATATGATGAAGTTACCCTTCTCTGACCACTCAGCTGCCTACACAGTTCATATGATTGAATACATCTTCGCTCAAATACTCTCTTCATTAACAAGATCATTATGAAACGCCATCAACGCTAAATTGGCCATGTTCTTCGCTACACATTTCAGAAAATGGCACTTACTTCGCTACCTGCCAAATCTTGTAATGGATAGCATCAAAAGCAAGAATTAATTACGAACTAAAGTAATAATTAATACTAGGAAAAAATATGAATTTAAAGACTGCCCCGCTGATACATGGGCTTGAGCGATGGGAAAAAAGAATGACTTCTGTCGCTGAATATTAAACACGGCACCAGACCCAGCAGCTTAGAAACTTTTCTCTTGTAGTTAGCGGAGTCATCCTATCAAGTAATGGTGTTAAAAGAAGAATGGCAAACTTTTGGGCTTCTCGTTCATCTTTTGGCTGATATGACGAAAGAGCGTCCAAAATAAATACTTGACCCCATTCGGTACATTCATTTAATGCAGTTAACAATTTATTAATTGTTTGTGAGTTTATTTCAATAAGCACTCGAGATTCATTAATTTCAGTGAGAGCAGCTACAGCATTTGCAACAACCTGAAAATCTATTAAAAATAGATTTCACCTTGCCTACTTTATGCTATGATCTTCCCAAAAAAATTAAAAAGTTAAAAAACTAACCATTGGATTCGAATCACTTAAAAGATCATTTAACAATTCCACAAAACCTTGATCTTCAACTAAAGATGCGTTAATATCATGCAGTTTCGCAACACAAACTGCAGCAGTCTTACGAACATATGGATCTTCATCTTTCATACACTTGCGAAGCGGTTCGCATAAATATTCTGTTATCTAAACAAGAAAACAAATAATTATATTAATAGTTAAACGTTTATCGACAAATCAAAAAAGACGGATTAACCTTATCTACACGTATGCAACCCATAGTTCGAACAGCTAAAGCACGAATGAGAGGATTTGGATCTTCACAATCCTGCAAAAACAGTTTTCTGAATTTTCTCTTAATGACATTATTTGAAAGGTCTTTTAAATGGAAATATATGCTCACCAATGAAAGTATGTCTGCATTTTTTTGTGGAAATAAAATTACCTTAACAAAAGTATTAACAGCCATAATTGCCAAATCGGGTTGACTTTTTGCATAATTCATTAAATAGAGATAGACAAGCTTTTTTAATTCAACATTATCTGTCTGCATACAATTCACAACATCCGGAAATAATGCACTAAATCTTGTTGCAAACATATATTTTTGTAAATAAAAGGTTTAAAAACGGAAAAAGAAAGGGAAGACAAATAATTATTTTTCACACCTTTCACTAAACGTTTTATATCTGGCATACTTAAAAAGTCTAAGCATTATCGTGTTTCTTCAAAAATTTTCACGGACTAAATAAAAAATATCGGAAGAAAGTTGTTGTGGAACAGCAATACCTGACATCTTTTCCAACTGTCATGCTGGCAATAACTTTTTTAACTGCTTCGCGTTTCTTCTCTTTCTTATCAGAATTCAACTCATTTTTCAATTCAAAAATCTCTCCTAAAGAAACAAATTTAACAACCATAAATGACGAAATTCTAATCCAACTTTTAAAGTCTTCTAATCGAACTCAACGTTTCTGGTTTGGCTCGCTGCATGGAGTAGCAAACTGACACTTTTTCACCAAACAAGCAAATAGCTACAGACATGAAATTTTTGGTTATCCATAGAACTAAAGTAAATATTATAAAGAATAAGTTTGAAATAAACTTCGAAATAATTTTTTCAAGATTTCTACAAAGATAAATCGCATAAACTGCAATATTTTAAAACTCTGCGCTTTCAAACTTAGTTTAACGGAATTCCGACAACCACGTGTAAGGCTTTTGCACCAAACTATAAATTAACCAAAATGCCACATGGAAAAGCCAGCTGCGCATTCACGTAACACGTAACTGCCGCATTAATTAACCTTTTTTTGTAGTGGTAAAGTATTTTGAATCGGTCATTTTGTTGTCGTACTTTGCACTGTTTTTGCTGCAATAATAAATAATTTTCCGATAGTTACAAATAGGAATATTTTATTTATGATCGAATTAATTTTATTCGATTTCCCATTTTTTCATTTTTTCATTTTTGTTATCAACTTTGTCGAATTTATCGAATTTAGAAATTTTCGCGAAATTGTTCTGTTCAATAAAACCTACCTTCTAGTGAACTTCACGCCACTTCCCCACTTTTAATCCACTAAAAATAAAATCTTACTTCTCCTAAGTCCCAAACCGGCCAATCTCTCACAAAAAAGTAAAATGGAGGCTCACAACATAAACTCCGAAGTGTGAACCACGTACAACCTCATCGGTTATTTTTCAGTTCGTACGATACCATCTTGTTCAGATCGTTGGTTAAAGTAGATTGCATGTGATTTTTATAAGTAGTACAGCAGTTGCACCGACTGAGGTCAAGCATCACGGGCTCGATTCATGTGAAAAGGGTGGACACTATCAGTCGTGCTAGGTCGTAATAATCTTTTGCAGAAATATTTGCAGAATATATGATTTAATTCCTCGGTATATTCTTTCGTAGAGAATTCAGATTTTGAAGAAATTAGGGATATTTCTTTCTAGAGCATTCGCTGTTTCTGGTTAGGCTAACTTCCCTACCTTATCTCACCAGACAGGAAATTTCTCGGAGATAGAAATAGGGGTGAGTCGCCAGCACCAAACGTTTTTAGTGTAATTAATAGTTTATTTATATGTTCTAAGCTTTCTTTAACAGTTCATAGTCCGACCGTGTCAAACTTACGTTAAGTCAGATTTTGAATTGTGGCCTTAGAAATAGCGATGTTATTGAAAATTCGGAGCTATCCTGTAAGATTTTCAGTATCAGAATTTTGTCATAAAAATGACTGAAAACTGAAAGAAGTAGAAAACGTATAAGTTTTTTTTACTTATAAATTTTCGTTCCCCAATTTTATTTCTTCTATCAGTGAATTCTTTAGTACTATAGTAAGCCAAATGGTTAAATGTAAGATCTCGCGAAATAAATATTGGTAATTCAATTTTGACCAATAAATTTCCTAAGGAGATCACTGAAGACAAATTTTTTATAGAACTACCTATCTATCAGGACGGTAGCAACTGACAGTCGGTATCACCTCCAGTTTTATTCTTGAAGAAAGCGCTTGAAATCTACAGGTACTTTCATCTTTTAATATCTAAAATACACCAAAATCTCGCGGAAATTCCAGAAAATAATGATTATTGTGAGAAGTGTTTTTGGCCAAATTGCCTAGATTTATCTAGATTATTTCTAACACTGTGGTTCTTTACCTCTAGCAGGCGTAAATCTAATTTTAATAAACTCATGCAGTGAGACCACTAGTACATCCTAACGACAAAATCCTATTAACCCTCTTAACATCTCGAAATGAATGTTAACTTCATTGTAAGAAAACATTGCAAAACAAAATTTCAAAGCAACAAATTTATTAGTAAAACATAGACAAATCAATTCTGATTTGAGGAATTACAATAAATATTGAATGAGATGTCATGCAAGAATCATGAAATTATAAAATTATGAAATTATAAAAATATTTGAGAATATTTTAATACAATCATGACAAATAAAAGAATTGGGAATTAGAATCCTTGTTCACAATGAACAAACATGAAATTCTGATTTGTTTTACATGAATCTTCCTCTTAAAAAAACATGAAGCAAAACCTGAAAGCCTTCCATGAAAATACAAATTTTAGCGTCAATTTTCAGTAAAACTCGAGGAAAATTTAGCCCCATAAAATGATATAAATATAAAAAATCCCATTTATTTCATTAAAATTTCGTTTTCAATTTACCATTCATTTTTTCCACATTTTCAGAAACCTGGAATAATCCACAATACTGCAAATGATGTAATTGGATGGATTATATGCGTTGTATAACTCGCAGATAATTTCCAAAATATTCCGAAAGAGGAGCTACTGTGAGGTTAAATCCATTGGTTTTTTTTTATTTCTCAACATAACTCATTAATTATTCGACTAAATGGAGTTTCTGATAGGGACAAAACGTCACCACGGACATAAAATGAACCAACTGAATATTGAATAACAAACTCGCATGCCAAATATGAAAAATATGGAAATAAAATGAAAGGTGGCCAAAAAGTCAATGAAGGAATCCTCACTGGCAATCGACAATTCAATCATAAACGAGGTAAGATAAAACTGATTTTTCTACGATGAAGAAAAACGAATTAAGTGCTTTTGACCAACAGGTAGAGAGGTAAATAATGAAAAAAATTTATCTTTTTTGATTAAATTTAAATTTTAATAACTTATAAGTCAAAAGCACCACAAGAAATTTATATCTAGCAAAATACTACAATAAAAAAAACTAAATTGAATCTAATTTTTCTTGGGTTATAATTAAAAATTTGCCCGTTTTTCACAATAAAAAATGAAGAAATAACCAAAAAATTTGTTATTTTACAATCCATACTTCAATACGAATTAGATATATTATAATAAGTTAAATATTGTGTGTTAAATGAACACTTCAAATCTGTTACTTTTTTAAATATACAAAAGCAATTTTTCGGATAAAGCTTGACCCATATCTTTTACTAAATTAATTTGATAATTTGACAATCCTATTTTGGAAAAATCTTTAAAAAAACCGATTTTTAATCCCTTTTAAATTTATTGGTATGGGTTTTCGATATAATTCAATCAAAAATATTATGTTTTTTATGTCCCAAAAAAAATCCACTGAAAAATATTATTAAAATATTATTAAATATTATTAAATATTATTAAAAATAAAAAAATTGGAAGAAATTCACCAGAATAAAACGAAAAAACTATTTTCTATAGTTCCACTTTCAATTCACAAAATGAAAGGTAAAAAATACAACAAACACCCTTTGCCAGATCAATTTCTTTCTAAAATGTTAAAATACAATAACAGAAAAGCAAAAATCCAAATCTGCATTAATTATTTATTGACTCCTAGAACATGAAAAACCAGATCTAACCAACAAAACCATTTCTCCTACTTTTTAAAAGGTAATGAAACCGGTACTACCTCTATTATATGTAAATAAAAAATAAAAAATTTCTTTTTTTATGCAAAAAAAATTCCAGAAAATGAATTTAAATTAATGAATTTAAACAAAGCATAATAAAATGAAAACGTAGAAAATACCGAAAAAGCATACAAATAGTTATTTTGAAATATAACCAAATTCCTGTTAAAATAATATTATACGTTTCTTCAGCCATCAAAAGAAAACCTTTCCATTTTTGATTATCCCATTAGTTTAGTTTCCACTTTTCCACAACTTAAGATGGATAAACAGAAAGTTAATGATTATCGATAAAGAAAATATCTTCCTGGGAGCTTCATACTGCTAAAAAATTTCAAATGGCACTGAAATATTTCCTAACTCCCGTATAAAAAATTTTTAAAAATAATATCAAAGCAAATTTCCTTAGAGTTCGGCCTTCTCTTTCCTGCAGTATAATTCTTTGAGTGTTTTCAATTCTTCAATTAATGCTTTATTTTGATTTTCAAGTACAGCAACCCTATTCTCGAGGCACTTTACATATTCTTTCTTCTTTCGCCTACATTCTTTAGCTGCTTCCCTAAAAAAAAAAGTGCTGAATAGTTTTATGCCGGGTTAGATTTCTATATCAATCAAAATTTAGTGGAAAACTTTAAAAGATACCGATTTTTGAGCAATCGAACTTGCCGTTTACGCGTACTGTCATCACTATCCGCTCCTATACGGCTTCCACTTGCCATTCCAAGTGGAGACGGAGAAGAATTATAACCTGCTATCATATTTGATTGCCACTCTTAAAACACCCTTCATATATTAAAAAATTACTGCGAAAATCTTTTCCTTATCGTAGAGATCACGACAATAAATTACAAAAAGGATCAAGGAAATAAAAATAATATAAATCTTTACGAATAGAAGAATTTTATAGAAGTTATATCAAATAAAAAACCATAATCAATCTATAATAATTTTTTGTTGATTAATAAGCATCGTTTTAAAATGTCAAAAAAAGGACATACCACTGACAGCTCCAGTTGGATTCACTTGCAGTGGTCCAAGATCCTAAAAAGAAAACAAGATCTGGATAAATTCACAATGCAGAAAAAACATTATTTAATGACTAGGTGGCTATCTATATCTATAAATCTTCTTGACAAAAATTCCAAGTTGAAGAAAAATTTTCTCAACGAATTCACAATATTTTTGGCTGCAAAAACTCAAAAATCAAACAAGTGAAATGCGAAAAATAAAATGCTAAAATATTTACCTGTGTTTTTGGAGTGGAACGACCTGCTCCGGTCACCGCTGCCGCAGCAGCCGCCGCAGCGACTGCTGCTGCTGTAGCTGTTACAGGTGAATATTGACCAATCATATTTGAAGCACTAACACTATGCAAATTCGCTATTGTACTTAGAGTTGTTTCTCCATTTGAACCATGTAAATTTGTCAATACTGAAATGAACATAATATAGATGTGGAAAGTGTTTTATGCAACTTTTAATTTAAACTAAAAACAGACGAAATTCTATTAAGCGTAAATAATTTTAAAGCAATTTTTATAAATAATTAAGAAGCTCCAAGAAATAAAATTTTTTTCTTACATTTGCATCGATATAAAGCAATATGATGAAGATGCGGAAAAATAAAACTACAATTTCTATTTATTTATGCAATAAATTTGCATACTGAGAAATAAATAAAAGAAATAAATAAATAAATTGAGAATAAATTTAAATAAATTTTTTGTATAATAACCTGCTGGTTGCATATACGATGGGTGATCTAATCTTGACGGTACAGATCGATGTTGTTCGTTCAAGTGTGTTGTTGTTACTTGATTCACTGCAACTGCACCTGAAAAAAAAATGTTTCTCATTTATTATGAAATTTATTGAATTTCATCCATTCATCCCTTCAACCTTTTCCCTAATTTTTATTCAATATTGAATTCAATTTATTAAATGATAAATAGTACCAGCTTAAATTGTCGAATAAAAAATTTAAGTAAATCAAAGGAATATCAAGGGATAAATTTATGCACTAACAATTTTTTCTAAGGATTTCAAATATAAATTTTTAATAATGAAAATTAATTTGAATTTTCATCAAATTTTTCTCGCAATAAATGAAATTTCTGGACTATGACAAATATAAAAGTTTGCTCTTGATCCCTTATAATTTTTCAAAAGTAGTAAATTTAATCTTGACTTTATTTTAAAAAAACAACAAATAAAAAAATGAAGTTTAAACAAAGTAAGGCTGGTAAAAATATACGGACGGAAGCTTTTTAGAAATATAGTTGGGTCAGCAGCATCACCCGATTTTCATATCAAGTATATCGAATATCAACAGATCAACAAGGTTACTAATTTTACACCGATTCTCATTAAAAACTAAGAAAAATGAATAATTAAAAAAAAAATAAATTATTTAGCGATTCGTTTTAATACAGTAATAAATTCACTCAAAACTTTTGTTCAGCAACCTTCTCCTATCCTTTTTCCAAAAAATGAATAAATGCATTATTTTATTATCAAAGTTCGATTTATAGGTGGTAATTATAATAAAAATAAGTAGAAAAATAGCGAACCATGTAAAGGAGTATTAGGCTGTGGTTGTTGAGCTAAAATTTGCGCAACCATTGGTCCACTCGTACCATCTGGATCTTTCTTCAATTGTTTATCAACAGTTTCCAAATCCTTTAATATCATCCTGAAATATTCAATCAAATAAAACAATTTTAAAGATTTTCATTTTTTTCATTTTTATAACTTTCATTTATAAAAAAATACAACTATAAAAAATTTGTAAAAGCGTATAAGAGATATATTGATGAGTTCGAAATCTTTCTCCGAAAAAATAATCGAATTAAATAAGTATAGAATAGCTGAGAAATAATCTTCCCTTTACTAACTCGTTTTGGACCCTTATTTAACCAATTCTTATAATGTAATTTTAATGTAATTATTATGTAATTATGTAATTATAATGCTTATATCAAATTAGTTTGTTTGTATTTGTAGCTAAATGCATTAGCTGAGTGAGAAATAAAATAGCATTTTAATAATCTATTGCTAACAACAATATTCACTAAAATATATCTCCATTAATATAAATAAAGTAATAAAAATTAAAAAAATAAGGATTACATATTCCAACAATAATATTAAATAAATATCAACAACTATTTATGGATAATGAAATGAAATAATGATAAAAATAATGACCAAAAATATCCTCTAATAACAATAATAATAATAATTGATAATGACAATGCATTAATAATTGTAGGTAATGTTGGAGACTCACCTGTACTATCGCCAATGAACTCCCTAGCATATTTGTTTAACCCGACAAGCCAGTGGAGCGAGTCTAATATATAATGGCATTTTTTAAAAAAATAAAATATGATAAAAATAATGATAACAATAATAACAACCTTGAAGGCTGAAAATAAAAATGTAATCGATATGACTGCTTCAAATAATTTATTTTTTCGTCGATTCAAGCAACAAAATTTTGAAAAGAAACTCAACGTTTACTTCATTTTAACGTCTTTTAATATTTTAAAAGCTCAAATCGATAAATAAAAAATGGCCAAGCACACTAAGCACATACATATACATATATTCAAAATGCATATATTGCATATATAATTAATACTATCATACAAATATTGACATAAATATACAGATATATGCATATACATCCAATATATATATATAACTACACACCTCGCATAATTAAACGTATATCTATATTCAGAAGAAAATCCACTAGATAATGACTCAGATTCTAGAGTTAACAGGCAAGATATCGGCTTCCACCTTAAACAGGATAAGCCTGTCATTTGAAAAATATGAATGGTATTAGAGATCTGTTTGTACCTCTAGTACCTCTAGTCTGTACCTTTAGTTCCAAGTGATAAGGCGAAAATTTTGCCGTACTAACAACCAGAAGAGTTGGTCTAACCAAAAATGGTGATAGCTTTTCGCTAGGCAGTCAATTATGAACATAAATACAAGCCAATTCAACAACTTTTTTAGTTTTAATAAAAATTCTCTGATATCACAAAATACTTTTTAATTTAATTCGTTTTTTCTAAATTCCGTTAAAAAAATCAGAAAGAATAAAGTTATTTATTTAATGGACGATTATATATAACGCTCGTTATTTCAAGATAATTATTGCATCGTATTATTACAATTTCGCCTAAAATTATAAATAAAATTGTAAATTGTACCATGTACATCTATCACAATAAAAAAGGCGAAAACTTATCAAACTAAAATAAAATAATAAGAAACGAAATATATGAGTATACTAATTAAATTTTTTGAATACAACGCTCGTGCAATTTTTTATGACAATGACGATTGCTGTATTAGAAAAACGACAAAAAAAATGGAATTAACTAATTCATCACTAATATTTAATGTTTAAAACCAATTATAAACTTATTATGAATTTTAAAAAACTTATAAAATTTAAAAAAAAACAAATTACTTCATAATTAATTTTATATATAAATAACAATACTGATATCTTATAAAAATTAAATAATCAAAGCAACAAATTTTATATACTTGCAATGAAATCTCAATGAGAAAAAAATTTTATAGATGAAAATATTTTGCGATGAAAAATTTAAATTCTCAAAAAAATAAACTCAAAGTCAAAAAATTCTTGCATTTTAAATTTCATATCACGAAATATTTAAGAAAAATTGCCGAACATAAAAAAAAATGAAAGGAACCAAAATATCAGTTAGATAAGCATATTTTTAAGAAAAAAATGGCATGAATCAGTTTGATTGATATCATGCACAGATGCCGTTTATTTTTGGGACATTCATAAGTGATTTTTCAGCTGATCTGAACGGAATGGTCGAGCGAAATATTGTTCCGACTAAGGCTCATGCATTATGGATTCGATTCCTGCCCTTTGATAAAAATAAACCTGTCTTTGCAAATAAAAACTGGCCGGACTCATGACATTAGATTCTTCTATTCCTAATAACTCATTGCCATAATTGTTTCACTTTTATGTTCATTCCTTTGGGATGAGAATAATAATAATTTAATCTAATCACACGAATTAAAACTTGATCTATTGATCCATCATTTCATTCACATGATCAACTTAATCTGTTCATCCGACTTATAACTTATGACTTATAACCGAATAATTTAACGCAATTCAAAAACAAATAGTTGTCCACATAAAACCAATATTTTAGCTGAAGTGCTAACAATTATGTAACAATAAATTCACAGAAAAAAATGTCGATAAGAAAATAATCCAGAAAATTGATATGTGATGCGTTATAATTTAAAGACACGTTATCATTTAACGATGAACAATAATAAAAATATAATAGAATAATTGATTGATTTACAACAAAAATAAAAAAAATAGTAATTATAATAATAATATTACAGCTAAAAATCAATTAAAATCTGTTTTCGGTAAAAGCAAACCTAACATAATTAAAAAATATGGCTACTCACGATACTCAGTAAATGACTACCTGATAAAAAATTTTTCATTGCAACGGCAAGTGAAGTGAGCTTAACCAAAAACGATAAGTAGAATTTTTAGAAAAAATTTGAAATATCTAAAAAACTATATAATATTAACTATATAACATATTAGAAGCTCTCACCATTACTGGTTAGGGTGGCTCCAATGGCTACGAGACGTTTTCAAGTAGCGCGGTCTGATGCTATCGTCGAAAATAATAGAAGTCACTCTTTCTTCCATCGTCTAAGTCCATATATGGCTGCTCCACCTATACGTTCAAAATCTTTCCTGACCGTATCAGTCCAGGTCTTGATTGGACCACCTGGGTTTTGACGTCACCCAAAACAGGGTTTAGCAAGTAACGAAATATGTATCTCTTGTGGTAAGCGACGAAGAACATGTCCTAACCAGCGTAGGCGAAGCTCAGTGATGGCACTGTTGATGCAAGTGGTATTGAAAGTATTTAACTATATAATCGTTTTCCAGTACTTTTCCCATTCTAAAAACTAGTTCTAGAATTCTTTTTTTTTTTAGAATAAAGCTTGCATCCTTGGATTTTAAATATTCTTCAAGATTTTTTGAATCATCGAAAGAATGAATTTTTTTCTAAAAATGGTATTACAAAGACCTGAACGAACAAAAATCAGAAAAAACAATATCAGGGCTATAAGATGAATAAGACAAAACTTCTCAACGAAGCCCTTTGACTGTTTGGTGCGGAATAAATTTTTGAATAAATTTTTAAATTCTGAAATTTTAAATAAGAAATCTAATTTTGAAATATGAAGTATTAATTATTTTTGAATTATTGAATTATTTTTAAATATTTTGAAGTATCAATTATCATGTTGGAGGATTATTCTACTTTTCTATTACTACATATTTATGAAGTGCAATAAATATATGTTCTTGAAGACGACTGGGCGAAAGACGCCAAGATGAATTTGACCAGCAAACGCTCATAATGAATTAGTTCCACACCACAGAAGCACTTTTCCGCCATGAATCAACGATTGTTTCACTAATGAATATCAACATATTAAGATTATCGCACAATATCCATTTTTTATAACCAGTCCACATTCTATCCAACAATATTTCCTATACAGAAAGAAAATAAGCATATACTGGAAATTTTCGAAGTGCATGTGTTTTTGCAAGTTGATGTGGAACTCAATCACTTGGTTTTATTTGATTTTCTCATGGCTTAAAGTTATTGTTTGCCTGTCATAACATAATTTTTTCAGCAAATTTTTCAGCAAAAAGCGCTTCAGTGAAAATGCATCTCAGAAAAATGAAAATATTTTAGTAAAAACCTATTATAATTATTTGATCCATATCATTTTTAAATTAGATTTCGCTCACCAGAAAAATTTTTTCAAGAAAGCAAAAATCGAGGCTGCAGAAAATAATGAATTGAATGAGAAGTTATAAATTTCAAGATAAATAATCTAAAAAATGTACAAAAAATGGAATAAAAAAATTCCAATAAATAGTGTAAACAAAAATACAAGATACAAAATCACGCGATAAGTGTAACTTCTAAAATGAATTTAATGTGCAAAAACTAGTAATAATGAATTTCAAAATTCTGTCGTAAAGATGAAATGAAATAAAGAAAAAATACAACTATAATTACCAATTTAAAAAAAAATGGATTACAAAAGAATTGGGCATTTATAAAATGATGTGAAAAAAAAAGAATAATAAATATAGACGAACCGATAAGATGGACGTCGATTAAGCTGTTCTCGGCGGCGTCGAGCCTCATCTTCGCTAATAATTTCCTCATTTGTTGTTACACTCTGTTGATTTGCATTCTGAAAATTAATATTTCACTGCTTTTTCTTTTTAAAGGAATTTTCATAATGGTTCTAAACTGAAACTTGTTAAATAATTCTTTGAATCAATATCGTATTAAAAAAATTTAGGATTTCTTAAATATTAAAAAATGTACAAAAAAAGAAATTGATGAAATGATATGCAATTAAGCAATTGGGGAAAGAATGGCTCAGTGAGTTGTGGGCTGTTGAAATAGCAATTGGGAGCGCCGATGTTGAAGTTCGATTCCCCGCAGGAGTAAACTTGCACAAAAATCCGGATGATACTGGCGACTCACCTGTATTTCTATCGCCAAGGGACTCTCTGGCATATTGTCCAATGCGACAAGTCAGTGGAGCAAGTTTAACCAGTAATGGTGAGGACCCATAAAAAAAATTGACCAATACAATTATAAAAAAGGTGGTACAAGATGGTTATTTGATCCATTAAGTGGTTTATCAGCATTTCTTGCTATAGTTACGTTGGTTGTTGGTATGATAAGAATTTTTTTGCCAAGGATTCACAATGAAGATAGAATTTCAGTTCACTAACATTATACTTTTAAATGAGAGGTTTATTCCTTCTGAAGGCCGTGCTCGAGACAATTTTTTTCTTGAGAAGTTCTCACCATTACTGGTTAAACTCGCTGCAGTGGCTTGTTGAAAATGAGCAATATGCCAGGAAATCCCTTGCGATAGAAATACAGGTGAGTCGCCAGCAACACAGGTTTACTCCTGCGAGGAATCGAACCTCAGCATCGATGTTCCCAAATGAGCAACAACCCACTGAGCCATTCTATCCCTAATAATAATAAAGAAACCTCTCGGCCAACTTATCCCAATAAGATGGTGCTTTATGATGATTAAACTATAACAAATTATTAAAATCTAACAAATACACGCAAGAACAATAAAATTTACAAAAAAAACCGAGAATTTATATAAATGAAAATTTTTAATAAAAGTTTTTCCATTGAATAATTCCTTTTCATCACCTGAAAAAAAAGGAATTCAATAATAATTTAATTTCAATAATTCAAATTTTGATTTTGCTTCAGCAATATCTTACAAATGAAATGAATAAATGAAGTACAAACCATTTTTTTTATAAACAAATTAACATAGCTATTCTATTCTAGACCCATAAAAATGGAATAATTAGAAGTACACCAACTAAAAACAAATTTCTAAATTCTCAAGTTATAAAGAAAAATATAAAGAAAATTATAAAGAAAATTTTTCGAATTAGTTGATTAACCTATCATGAAAAAATCCGCTGGGAAAACGCTTTTACTGCCCAAGGAATTCCCTGGAATTTTCAATTTCTAATCATACAGCCTAGTGGAGTTAATTAAAAATGGTGAAGGCAAATCACTTTAATATTATGGAAAAATGATGGCATCCATTAGACATGCTGAAATTTGTAATTAGATTTTCAAATAGTTACAAAACATAAATTCAGGCAAATAATTTTATTCATCGTAAAATTTCAATTATGTTTATAAAAAATCTAAAAAATCAATGATCACCATTGATCCGAAATTAATTGGTAATTTAATTATCATAAAAAATAGTTAATATAAAACCATGAATTCTAAAATAGCAAAAGATATCATCAACCTTATTTAAAATTTGATCTTCAATTAAGAGTATGCATCATTTCTAATTCGGCTGACTCCGGCAATTAAAAAAGAAAAACCTCGTTTTCGTCCAAAAATAACATGGGAATAGAAAGAATCTTTATTATGCATCACTCGGATTTTCTTTTAAAGATGATTTTAATTTGTATATAATCGATTTTTAAAAAGAAATATATTTTATTTGCGGAAAATCAGCTATCATTAATCAGCTATCATTAATTGATATAATACTTGATCTGTTTGACTTACTATTTCTTCCACAGTTATCATTATTTTCGCATTATCTTCTCAACCATAACAATATTAATTTGATTGTAATTTAGCAATTATGGACATTAATTGTGTTGAATTAATTAAATACTAAAACTAATTAATTATATGAATTAATTATATCTCCATTAAATACTAAATTAATTATAAACTTGAAAGTTCGATGGGTAATTATTCAACTACTGTATTCTCTCAAGTGACTCCCTGGCGAAAATCTCTCATTTGCATAAAGCAGCCAGCGGAGCCAGTAGAACAATAATTGCACAGAATTGCAACCATAATTTCATTGCAAACAAATATAATTGTAATAATTTTTAAAATAAATTTTAATAAGTTTGCAAAAGTTTGATGGAATTATATAAACAATATTAAAATTAAAAAATTAAAATTAAAAAACTCGAAAAAAAAGACGAACGATTTCCTGTTTATCACTTGAAGAATTATGTATAACTGTTGTCGGCTGTAACGACATGGCTGCCTTTCACTTAATTCTCTTTCATTGCCATATATAAAAATTTATGTACATAAAGATACTGAAACAATGCGTTCATTTAAAAATGTCGAAAAAAAAACGAAAAACGAACAATAATAAATTGTTAAAATGAAACTTACGTCACACGGTGGACGCTAGTTTCAGAGAAAAAAAATATAAAACTACTCAAGCGCTTAACGCAAAAAAACGTTATTCAAACGCTATTAAACCTTACTGCACCATGAAATAGATCCATGAAATAGACCCTATAAAAGAATATATAAGAGAATAAAAAATGAGTCAAAAATAAGTCAAATGCAATAGAAGGACGTAAAAGTTAGAGAAAAAGAAAAATAATTCAACTGATGTGACTGAATGGATTATAAAATAATTCAAGAAAAACGATTAACAACGAATCGCGATGGAACTAAGCGAAAATATGGAATAAAAAGAGGGAGTAAAGAAGGAGAGGTTTCGAACCAATTTTTATCCGAAATCAACATTCAGCTAGTGGATAAACGACGGAGAAAATGGCCTCCCCAGTGAAAAAACTGAAGAATTCAGAAATAATAAAACTAATAACAAATTTATCCATTAATATTGTTCCAATAATTAAATTAAAATGATAAGCGAAAATTGATTGGCACAAAAAAAAATCTTCTTCAAAATCAGCTACAGAAATCTTTTCCAGTGCGCAAAAACACGCAGAAAGCATGCACAGGATGACCTCCGCTATCTTCAACTATAACTACCCGTCTAAATCACCTCGGTTAGATCATTTATTTTTCGAAATGTGGTACTTCCATCCACCAAACCATACTCTTGACGAGAATTTTGGCTATTGTCCTGAACATTAATTATACTGTAGTGGGTACTAATTAGCAGTTGGTCACGAGAGTCGTCGGCCGCTTTAATTTTCGTATTTTGCTGACGAATAGTAATAGTAGTCGTAGGTAAAACATACCGTTTTTAATTTTTCGAGTGATTGAATGTGATGGCGGGTTTGTGGTGGAACTTGGAAGTTGAGTTTGTCCAAGTTGGTTAGTTTTCACTGTGAAATATGTACTGTTTTTTTGTGGCATTCATTTGCGTTTGGCGTTAATTTGACAATCCGTATTTTATTTTTTGTTCTTGTTTCAATTCCATCGAAATTCTCAAAAGTGATGAGCGGTTAGCGTCAGTTCTTTCTGGCTGTGTTAGTGTAGATTATTTGTCAGGAAATTGCTTGGCGATAGAAGACCAGGTGGGTTTGTCTGTTGCCGGGATTTTAAATGCAGGTTTAATCCTAAGTACTGTACCACTGCTTCTAAATGCGATAATCTCTAGCACGGTTCGTTTATCATTTCCCTCTTAAGAATAAAATAAGTCTATACATTTATTATATTTTAGCTGTTTCTGATATTAAAGACTTATATAAAATAAATAAGGAGAGCCAATCAAAATGCCTCGAATTAAAAGCGTTCATTCGAAGGTATACAAATGCCCTCGTCGTCCTTTTGAGAAAGAGCGATTATATCAGGTTTACTGCTAATTTCATTCAATTTTTTTCTTGAAATTTTAAGATTTTAAGCTTCCACATTTCATAATCTTAATGTTCTTCTATTCTTATAACTAATTCAGGCATAGAATTAGAGTGTGTTTCTCAAGGCTCGCAGCATTAAATCACACTAATGCTAGTTTTTTTATGCTAATTGAATAATCAAAAATAAAAATTTCTTTCAAATAGTTTAGCATATAAATCACTTTGGAAGTTATGGATCACACTAGATTGTTGCAATTTAATTCAACCAATTATTAAATTAGACCATTTAAATTTTTAAATTGAATGGAATTTTGTAGGAATTGAAATTGATTGGCGAGTTTGGTTTGCGAAATAAACGTGAGGTTTGGCGGGTAAAATACACTCTTGCGAAAATCCGTAAAGCAGCGCGCACACTTTTAACTTTAGAAGAAAAGGTAATTGTATTTTTCTACAAAAATGAATTTACGCAGTTATCAGATTTTACTTTTTATTCTTGAATAATTTTTGTGATAAAATACGTTGACCATCGTTTGTTAGATTTACGTATTTATCTAACAATGTAGGTGAAGATATGTTTCTTACTAATAGTGGTGTTCAACCATCAATGGGGCAAACTGTCGGGGTAGTTGTTGATAAATAAGTAAGTGATTGGCTCCAGCCATTTTCGACTAGGCTTATTCCACTGTATGAAATTTTCGCGAGGAAGTCAATTGGCATTTCAGTTGGATGACCAGCATCAGCTGGGTTTTCCTGTTGTGAAAGGATTGAAATCGTGACGCTTAAAAAGACAACCACTTCGATAATCTTGGTGTTAGAAGAAAGAGAAATAATCCATCTTTTAATCTTTATTTCCTATATTTATTTATAAGAATCAAACATAGCACCAAAACATGTTAGTTAGAATAAATACAGAAACAAAGAGAATATAAAACGCTGAAAAGAAGGCTGAAAATGGAAGAAGAATACAAAAAGATGTGCAAAATATTCAGATAATTGAGGAAAGTACAGAAATGCAGATGTTATTGCCAATGCTGATATTACATTTTAGCAGCTTTTAATCATGAATGTGAATACCGCAGTTAATGGCTTTGTTCACATTGTTAAATTTCTTTTAAAATTAGTTTGAAGTTTGAAGTTTGAAATCATGATCGAGCGAAATTTTATAAATAAAGATCAAATCGTATTTTATTCTTTCTTTGAGCTAATCAAAATTATATAATCATATAATTTTAGCTTAAATTATAGTAATTTTAATAGTAATTTTATGAAGAGGTAAGATTTATGCAGCGTAGGAAATATTTCGGTGAACATTTGATTAATTTTACTGGTTTTTGATAAATAAGTGAAGGACTTTGGTGGCTGTGATTATTATAAATGCAGTCAAACAAATGTTTTATAGATGTTTTATAGATTATAGATGTTGATAAGAAAGTCGTTCGATTTATTCCTAAAGATTTTGAGTATAAAATCTAAAATTCTAGAAGGCTTTCTAATAATATGTTTACTATGCAAAACAAAGCCAAAGTTTTCATTAACTAATTAAGCGAGGTATGAAAAATTACTTTCTCGATTTAATGAAATGTTATTAAGGACTTTTAATTTTATTCAATTGCTTATATATTCAACATAGGATCCTAAACGGTTATTCGAAGGTAACGCTTTACTCCGGCGATTAGTGCGGATCGGTGTACTGCCAGAAGATCGTATGAAATTGGATTATGTCTTAGGCCTTCGTGTTGAAGATTTTTTTGAACGTCGACTTCAGACTCAAGTATTTAAACTTGGTCTTGCTAAATCTATTCATCATGCTCGAGTATTAATTCGTCAAAAACATATAAGGTAATTCTATTTAAAGCTTTTTTGGCGGTCATTTTTAATGCATATTTACTTTCTTCCATTGTGCATTATTCAAATACCATATAAGGTTACATTTACATTATCAAATTATTAGCTTGGTGGTTTGAAATTTTGATTACAAGAAGTTCTTGCTTTTAGAAAAAATAATGTCCTTGGATATTACGCCATTGACTCTCTTTTTCGATAATTTTATATTTTCGATAGTTTTTATATTTCCAGAGTACGTCGTCAGATTGTGAATGTCCCATCGTTTATAGTTCGTCTTGATTCGCAGAAGCACATTGATTTTTCACTGAAATCACCATTTGGTGGTGGAAGAGCTGGTCGTGTAAAGAGACGCAATGCCAAGAAAGGTGCAGGAGGTGATGGAGAAGAAAGTGAAGGTGACGAATGATCATATTTATCGTCGCTACTGATATTACTGATGTTTTTTCTGAACCTTATTTCGTTAACTGAATAAATTTTGCATGCGATAACGTCGAATTGCTTTGAATTTATTCCATTTTATATATTCTCAATAACAGGTTTAGTTGCTTGAAGAAAAACCTTTTACCATTTTTCATGAAATTTTACAAAAATTTTTCACTAAGTAGGATAGTTAGTAAGTTAGTAAGAAGTGAGGCATTTTGTAGGAACTACAATTCTTCATGTTTAATTTGTGGTATCAATTCTGGATACACTTCTCTTAGGAACCATTCGAATGGTTTGCAATTGAGTGACTTTTTCAGGTTCAATCTTTCGGTTAGATCGCCGAAATCCATCGTTTTGGCCTTTGGGTGTTCATGGTAAAAATATTTCTGAAAAGTATACATGGGTACATGGTAAATCATAGTGTAGTGAATAAGAAAATTTTTAGGATGGTGTAACATCTACGTTGCGTTTAAACATAAAGTGGTTATCCATATATATAAAATTTGAGCATATAATTTAAATTAATTTAAATTTAAGGGGGGGGGGGGGTTTATGTTTCTTTTGTATTTTCTGGACTGGAAATATTTATACTGGGTGAGACTTGTTTTTATAATCAGAAGGAAATTAACTTCGTAATCGTCGAACCAAACTTTAACAGTTCGTAAACAGTTGAATAGGTGAGTATCTATATCGTCTCTAGTTTTATAAGGACGACGATTCCTGAAAACATGGCCAACACGGCTACACGGGGCGACTACCACTGAACCACCACACAGCCACATCTGAATTCACGTTCGGAATTCCACTTCACAATGCTTTAATTAGTTAAATATTTTGGATGAGAGGAGTGTAAAGATGGTGTCGCGAAATGCGATATTTTTTCTAAAATTATTTCAAACTGGTGACCCCGACCCGCGAAAAGAAAGCTTTCATTAACTTAATCGATTCTTCATTTATTCCATTTCACATGTCAATAAAAGATCTCCAAAAATATTTAAAGCGTGGCGAACGAGCATAGTTCCATCGCCTTCAGTTATTAATCTATTTTTCACAGGTGATTTTACGGTATTCAACATCGATATTCAATTAGAATCTAACAAGTCTGAAATTTATTAGTTGAGAATCTGCAATAGAAAAGTGGCATAGAGCAAGTAAGGCTTACACGCAACGAGATTTCAACATTTTCGCAACCCCATATTTGCATTGCGGTGTCGTATTCTCCCATTTCAAAGAAAAATTCCCTTTTTATTGCCAGCAATCCGCCGGACATAATCGGCGATCATTAATATAAAAATCTTTATTACTGCTCGATGTAGATTTATAAAAAGTAAAATTTATTGAATGCTAATTTCTTCTGAAAAAGTGTTCGTATTTATTTGACTAGTCAATGGGAATAAAATACCAACCTAAATGGTTTCACATTATTTTCGGGTTCATCGAAATATTCCCACGGAAAATACTTCCAAACGAAATTGAGACTCCAGTCGAAAGCACCTTTTGCTACCATTGCTTTCGTATATGTGAAATCATGTGCACTTATTAAATCGACTAATGGTAGTACCGTTCTTAAAAAATTTTCAATTCTATCTCATCCGATGAAAAAAGACTGATCATGGAAAATTTCGCCAACAATTGATTTGTTCACTTCTAACATAACTCACCATTTCTGGTTTGGCTGGTACCATCGGTTATTATGGCAAAGCTAGAAGGTTATTTAAGGATACATATTGGTTGGCAGCAACAATACCCACGGAATTTAATATTAGTGGAAAAAGGGAAAGTACTTTGGTTAGTAACACTTAAGTATCAAATGTACTTTAATATTTATAAATATATATTGTTAAAGATACTTTAACAATATAAGAGATCAAAAGCTTAAAAAGCGGAGTATAGCCTGGTATTGCATAGCTTCGAGTTACACGACGCTTTCTAAGCGGGAATGTACGATATCATCAAAAATCAAGCGCAAACCCAGTTTTTTTTCCTTCCCCAATCTTTGGCTATAGGGTTTCACCATTGTAGCCAATCTAACAAAAAAAGGCAAATGCTGTGAGAAGAAGAATGAAGGATGAATTAAAATAATACACAAATAACTTCCTCGGTCTTTTCTTTATAAGACACGAAATTTTAATAGTAAGGATCACTCGCCGAGAGTATTCATTTCTTTATCTTGATGGAATAAAATTCAGAAATGAAAACACTAAGAAAAATGAATTGCTGAGATTTTACGAGAGAATCACTATTAAAATCCACAAAACTGAAATAGTGGGAAAAAGCGGGTGGCTGGCAGTCACCATCTTTGCTTAGGCTATCTACGCTGCTTGTTAGTGCTAGAAATTTTTGCTGGGGATGGTGGTAAATTTAGTCTTACTCTTCAAAGATAAGAAATAACCAACCATTATCACTGTGAGCTGAATCATTATTAACTCGGTCGTGCTGCTGATTAGCCAACAGCGGAAATATTAGAAAATGTTGTCAGAATATTGTTGGAAATGTCGGAAAATAAGTAAAAGACGAATGAAATTTCGACGAACCTTAGAACGAATCAGTCCAAGACGTTTCTCGCTTCTTTTAACGATAAGCTTCTCCCATGGCCATTCATCAATGTTTGCATATTGAAGGACTTTTTCGACAACGATTGCGTCTTCATCACTCATATCATCAAAGAGAATAACTTCTTTTAATAGGTAACTTGGTGTTCGATCAAATATGCTATTCAACATTCGAATTAAAACTGATAATGCTTCATTATGATAAATTATAATGATGCTTGCGTTCATCGTTAATCCATCATATGGGATGTTCGAACATCTACGAATAAAAATTATTGGTTGAGTCACGAATCTTCTAATAATTCGCACTATTACTGCTTAGAGTGGCTGCAAAGCCGCCGTAAAAGCGGCTTGATCCCAGGTACGTAATATATGAAATAATGCTAAAGGTTTACTTATATTTCAGTGTTCTCAACCAGAGAGTAAACTAATTAAGGAAAGCTGAGCATGAGGAATGCTAAGCACTATTAGAATGCATAGAAAAATGTCCAGAAGCGAAGATGGGGAGAGAAGTGCAAGCAGAGAATGGTTTTCTGGTTATTTCCAACTTAACTTTGCTCCTAGTTCTCTTTCAATTTACAGTTGGATCGCCAGCTTCATTCACATTCTTAATAATTCACAGTCGAATAAAAAATGATGGGTCGTTTGGATTACTTTACCTTATATGAAGAAAAGTATATAAACTAACAATTCGTGATACATTGGTGGCAAATACCTTCTTGGTCCAATCTTATCACTAACGAGTAAATTATATGCAAATTTACTATAACCCCATTTATAACGCTCCTTTTCTCTTGCATCGGTGATTTCACTAAATGCTGTTATTGGATCGCAGCTGCTCGAATTCGCATCATTCCAGGCCCATATATCAATCCTATGCTTAATCATTATAAATACATCGTTATCAATTGCTTACACTGGTATTGCAATGGTTATCTAATTATATCGGTTTAATTTTTCAAGTTAACCCATTCAGTAAGGCAATTATCAAAGTCGCACCCTTGCAAGTAAAATATTGCTGGGTCAGCAAACGGTTGACGTCTCTTAATAAATAATAAATATTTTCGTAATATATTTAAATACATTTTTCAACTCTAATTTTTAATTTTGTATTGGTTGAATTTGCATTCAACAATTCTTTAAAAATTGTTTAATTCGCCCCGTTTTTTTTACAAAAGATTTCTTTTGAAGGTAAATTTGAAATATTATAAAATAAAAAGCATTAAAATAAAATAGTTTTAAATGTTAAGAAACTTCCGGTTATTAAGAAAGATAATGATTGATAATAATAATAATCATAATAATAATAAATAATGGTAATGACAATGATGATGATGATAATAATGATAATAACGATGATAAAAATAATAATGGTAATGATAAATGAAAATTAATTCATAACAATAAATAACCATGATAAATTAATGATAATAATAATACAATAATAAATGGTAATGATAATATTAACAATAATAATAGCAATTAGTGATAATAATAATTAATAACAATAACAAATTAATAGTAATATTAATACTAATATAAATCTATTTAATAAATTTTTTGAAACATGGCAAATAATGGTTAAAAACCTGTCATATGGATCGATATGCCGGCATTTGGGAAGAGGAGAACTTTCCGGATTCCTCGGTTCGGAAATTATAATAGTTATTAGTAACCTGACAAATAAATTGAATAAGAGTTGAAAGGAAATATTGGTTAAGGAAAGGAACATTTCTTGAAATTTTCAACTGCGATTTTCTCTTGAACTAGGTTAGAACACGTAGTTTGTATGTCTTTGTTCTCATTCAATACCGGTTTCCCTGATCAATTGCCGTTTTACATTTCATTTCATGAAAGTTTTTGCAACGATAAATTCAAAGTGAAGAACCATCACAAATAGTCAGCGATAGTCCCAAATGTGGATAACCCTTAAGGCTTCATCCATTAATTTCTTCTTTCTCCCATAATTTATCCACGAAAATTGCCATCACAATTCTATTTAGCAAAATTTCATAAATAAATGAATGATGCATTTTCATTCTCTAAAAATGAGCGCCTAAAGATGCACATTCACATAAAATGCACATGCGTACCGCCTAGCTTTTTCTTCGTTTTTTCGGACATTTGCAAATGCTAAAATTTCAATTTTTTATTCAAAAAATTCAGCTCTAGCATTTTGCATCAAATTTGAGATATTTTGTCTGACAATATTCAGTCGCTGCCTCATACGGTGTATCCGGTGTATCCGATGTATCTGACGTAGCGTGTCAGAGGTCATCGCGAGGGGTTTCGAATTGGTGAGGCTAAATCTTATTTGAATTATTTAGCGAAACCACAGTTCTAAATAGTACAATTTCTTTATGACGTTTGACTTCATTTCTTTCTAGCGGAAGTTATATGTTCTCCACGCTTACGCTATAATTAGTTGAAAAGCTGCTTTAAGATGGAAGTGTTTTCGGACCTTAGCATACTCTCGAACCTTGCTGCACTTTTTCACTCTCGGAATCTCCACAGTTTCCCTTGAACATCCTCCAGTCTCAGCTATACTCCCCGATGACCGTCTAGTTTGCGACTGCTATTCATCGCAATTTTACTATTTGAAACCACTGGCATCACCATTGCGAGATTTGACGGAACCTTAAAGGTATAAAAATCAGTTATTGTTAAATGCAACTACTAGACTTGAGTCGTTGGCAAAAGGATGCACGATAAGGCCGACATCCACCTAAACAACAAACACATTTTCTGGCAATGTATTAACAGAATTTTATGGATAAAATTTTAGATTTTTGAGGAATAGGAATTTAATAGGGTTTGATTTTCACAAAACATTTTTACATCCTTTAAGGAGTAGTGAAGATTCTCAAACATGAAGCAATATCAGCGGCTTAAATTCCACGCTAAAAAGACGAAATTTCGAATTTTCTAAATATCATCAATGAGATTTGAAAGGTGTTGACTTTTGGCTTTTCATTGAGTTTGATGGGGCTGCAAGTAGGACTGATGGAATTTTTAAAAAACAGGTTATGGGTTCTGTGGATGTAGTCAAAACACCATAATAATCCCATATTGCTATAAACTTACGAGGAAACGATGAACAAGGGAGTTCAAGGCACAATTCATAAATGAATATGGGAAAATTTAGAGTTTTGATGCGGCGAACACAACCTAACTTTGAAAAACTTTTCTAGGACGCCACCAGGGTTACACCACCGGTTTTATGAAGGCCTGTCTCGCTCAAAATTCAACATAACAGAGACATAACTTGGCCTAAAAAACTTTTCCCAATGAAATGCACGCTAAAACTGCCAGAAATAGGTTACTGAACAAACAAGCAATAAAACAGAACCTAAGGATATCTTAAAAAGCATTGGGTCAATTTATACAAGAACGATAGGCAATCTACTTAGGAAGAATTTCCAGCTCCGACGAATACGAAAATTTTTACCCCTCACTTGGTTTAGCAATTTAGTGACAAATGGATTTTTTGAAAACCGTACTTTTAACCGAATCTTTGAGCTTACCCACCGATCCACCAATCACCGAACTCCAATTTCCGGACCGTTTCATCAAGTCTACTCCTACTCTTATTCCTGGTAGGATTAAAATCATCTTCAGAAAATACGAGTAACTGTATTAGCACCGCCTACTAAGCTCCACCCCAAAAAATCCATCTCCGCAGTCCTGCCGATGTTTGATCATAGTTCTCGAACATTTTTTCTATCACAGCTAGATAGAACGCCACCTAACCCCAATATGACCTTGCCAAGGTTCAACCTATTAGTTTTCTTTGCTATTCGCTAACCACCGTTCCACGAGAAGAAACGCCATTTCCTGGTATATTTAAACCTAACTTGCAGCAACAATATGCGTCATTATTCCAACCAACAAACTTGATGCATTACAATTAACGATTTATTATCCCTTTTACCCATCTACCATCATTTTTCACCTTTCCTCACACAAACCACTGATTCCCCTCCCTCCCTTAAAACCTTTACATATCACGCTTACAAATCCGCGATGGAATATATATGCGCGAATTTAATTTGCAGTAAAAATTAACATTATCCTGTGTGAAATGACAAATCATACCTTCATTTTTTACATATTTTCGATGAAAATATACGAAACAAATATAAAATGATAGCAGAAACCATAATTCTCCGCCTATCTTCATTTTTAAACTAATTGAATCCAGTATAATCAGCAAAAAAACTCTCCACTATCCTCCCATCCCACATAAACGCGATGTATAATCTGCTATCTTAACAAAAAAACACGGGTCGAACCCATATATACAGGTTTACCCGTATGCTTAAAACCCAAAGAAACCAATGAAAGAAACAGATCAACTGCTCAATTTATTTACAAATGTCTCTTCCTCTAATTACAAAGAGAATTTAATGAAAACAGGTTAAAGCCGTTTCAATTCTCTAAAATATTGTTACATTTTACAGTTATAAGTTTTTTCACAGCTGGGCAAAACTTCGTAAGAAACAAATTATGTAGGCAAAGTAGCAGTTTCACACTCATCCACACGTCCCTCTTCACGTGTTATATGTGCGTAGTCCGATGAAGATGAAACCTCATCATCTACACAGCTATTATCAGGTTTATTCGATAAATACGCATCATTTTCAAAATTAGATCCTTCACTTTCGCTGGCACTGTTATTTTGAAATAATGGAAAAAAATGTCCGAGCTCACGCCTTAACTGATCATTTTCCTTCTCCAGTTTATGTACAGTATGATCTAACAATTCAACAGTTCCCTGCAGCGTCAATACTTCTTCTGTTACCTGAAATAATGTTCTTTAAATAATCCTTTTCCGACATATAGCATGAAAATCCATGTATTCGCAACACATCTGCATTCCTTCTATCAACCGAATCTTTAGCAGAAATTTGTCACTGTAACTACCCAAGAACTGTACTACCAGAGTTAACTGTCCATTTTAAACTATAGAATTTAAAAAGGCAATTCTATGGTTGACTAACTTTCATTAAATCTTCCTCCTGGGCTATCTGAAAAAACATACTACACCCCACTATTATGCTAAAAATTTTCATTCAATTTTTGTTAGACCAATTCTTTCTTTCATTGGCAAAAATTTCTGGCATGGACATTTTCTGTTCACAATGAGTAATTAATTCCTAAATTTATCATTGCAGAAATCTGCAGCAGAGAGGCTTCAACCATTTTTTTCATAAGAACGCTCATCAGTTCCCACAATTTTTTGGAAGATTCACGCTTATTTCTTTCTGAATTAGAACAAAACAAGAGCATTTGGCCATTTTATCCCTTTATTTCACCCATTACTAACCCATTCAACTTTTCGTAATATCCTTACTTAAAGAGGAAATCAAACACTTACTTCATCCTTTGTCATGGTACCAATGCGAGCGGCAGTGACTTCATTATACTGCTCTGTGAACTCCCGATGCATTAATTCTTCTTCCTTTCTCATATCATCTGAACTCCCAGAAGGTTCACAAAACCTTAAATCCTTGTCAATGAAATGCAAGATATTTTTCGAATTTCCGAACTATCAAAGCTAAGGAAGTAAATTTCATATCTCAAATATTTATATCCGATATATAATATTTTAGTCACTGTCACATATATCCATCCCATATTGCAGTTTAAATTTCAAAAATTAGACCACCGTACCATTAAAATTTACTTCTAAGTTTACTAAAAATAACCATAGCCTTCTTTTCTGAAAAAACTTACGGAAATTCATCCGAGTCCCGCATGGACTTCATTTTGCCTTCTAGCTCTCGTTCCTCACAATCTGCCACCAAAAATTGCGTTGTGTTGCGAGGGGCCCTTCCTCCTCTTCCACCTCTTCCGGTTTTTCCACTGTAATATAGTTTTTGGAGAAAACTGTCTAGACCAATAATAAGTTATTTAGACTGTTTAATGAAAAATAATGAAAAAAACTGTCATTTAGTAATCACACTAAAATTATTAAATAAATAAATTATCAGATCCTCACTGCAGTTCACTAACAGGATCTTCAAACGTTTTTAATTAATAATTACGTTTTTCACTTCCTTCTCAAAATTTGTACTTTACACATATTTATATATATAAATATATTTAAGGAAGATACAAAAATCTAATGGAAGGAATTAGAAATAAAAATCTATAGCAACAGTACGACTCAGTCTCGTAACAAATAAACAATAAACTGTGGCCGAATCATTTGTTCCGCTTCGACCGCCTTGTCGCACTGGCCATTGTGGGTGCTCATCAAGATCGAACTTGGAAAGTTCGTTCCTAAAAAACGATGAGTACGGGGCTTATGAAATGATTCACAAACCCTTACTTATTTATCGGTGTTATTTACTTTTATTCATTGCTTTTAAGCAATACCTGTATATACCTGTATTTATTTTTCAAATATTTACTCTGAAGGAAATTACGATCACACGCGCTGCAAAACATAAAAAAACAAACATTCCCAGTCCAAATTTTATCTTTAATTATTCAAATTAGATATGCTCCACCTAAAAACGAATTTTATATATTTACCACACTCCAGCGAAATATTTCCTTCATCATAAATAACAAATTACTCAAATATAGGTAGAAGCTACCACTTTAAACCATTATGGAATTGCAAAATTCCACTCCAACAACAAACCTCGAGAAACATAAAAAACATACCGCCACTTGGGAGGATTCAAAACGTCATTAACAATCCTGTTAGTGTTGAAGGGAACTGATATCGAAACTGAACTTCTTCTTCGATGATTTCCGCGAAACCTATAAACAACCTATCACTAATATCAACCAAGGTAGAAGAGTTTCAGAATCATTTTTGACTGGTTCTTATTTTATTTATCAATTCATTACCAATAAACTTCTACGAAATAATCAAATAGTCCATAAAACCAAAAAACAAATTGAGATGAAAAAAGAGAAACCTCATAGAATTAGGCGACAAAAAGCGTTTCATGTGACCACGAATTGGCTGAAAAGCACTCACATCTCGCGAATATGGCCAACGCTTAAAACGATTCGCTAAACCATCAAGAATAACATCGCCATTTATAAACTTCGAATTTTTCATGCGATTCAATGGTAACGTCTCTGATGAAAACCCTCCTACTCTCATCTAGAAAACTTTTTATATCAACTTTAAACAATTCGTTACCTTTCGTTATTTAAAATTTTTTCGATGCTTCAAAAGAAAAGGGTGAGAATAAAAACAACTACGGTAACTTTTAGGAATGATAAAAACAGTTGAGTTTTTTCTAAATAAATCACTACCACCAGACATCAAGATACAATAAAAATGGATATCAAAACATATGCAAAAATAAATTAAATTAAATCAGTGAAAAAAACCGATATCACGAAATACCTAAACCAACTATTTGAAACAAAAATGAAGGATAAAAAATGTGAGGAAAAAAACGAAACAAAAACCCCTCCGCAACACACAAATTAAATTTAATTCCATTTTGCGCTATTCGACATGCAAATTTCGTTGCTAGCCAGTGCCAAACCATGAAAAATCCGCGTTCCAAACTTGTAAACAATCCCTACTGGCAAACCCGAATTAAGCCACTCCAACCACATTCCCATACCTCCAAAACAAGACCCACAATATAAAACACCCCCTTCAAGCAACACACACGCACCACAATCACCCACAAGGCCTCACCCCATTGTTCTGCTGCCCACAACAACTAACCGCTGCTGTGAACAGCAACATCGCCTCTCGTTGTTATAGAGAAGAGGGCGTTACCCTCGCTATTTATATCAATCAGAACGCGGATGAATCGTGCGATGCGGTCAGATGTTTTGCGTCGCGACTTGTCAATGCACCAATGAGAAATAGTGCGAGAAAGCTGCGTAACCTTCAGCAAATTTTTTGGAAAAAGTTCCAGGTACGCTTCCCGAAGTCAGTTTCTGTTTTTATCCCCCAGTTCCCTAAGTCGGAGTTCCCATTGTGCCAGAAAAATCAATAAGCAAGGAAATTTGGAACTTGAAGAATGGAGAAAGGATGAAGGAGACGGAGGACACCACAAGTACCACAAATGAAGAGAAGGAGGAGGAAAACGAATCCAAGAATGAATAACAAGAAATGGATGAATGGCAATGAACAAACACAAATATTAATAGCGAAAAAATTTGCAACGAAAAAATCGATGCACTTATCGATTCGTCGCACATCTATCATTTGCACTTGCACTGATGCGTTTAGTCGAAGAATTCTGCCACTGATAGTTGAATCCACATGTGCTGCACAACAAAGCAATTTTAATACTTTTTGGCTCATTGCTTTTGCATGTTTGGTGGAAAAATGCGTCGATAAAACGTTTTCTTTAACAATTTTAGTCCATTCGTTCTCCCCTCGAAGAAGTGAAAAATTACTGCGAAATATCAATTAAAATAAAATTAAAATTTTACTAAATATTTTTCAATAAAGTTGAATTTAAATAAAATTAAATTAAAAAAATAAAAAAAAGTTTTAAAAAATTTCGAAATTTTTTCTAAAGATATTTTTAATAACAGTGGTAATAATAATAGTCTCAGCCAAAAACATCTAATGGAATTCGTCCAAAGGGAAATGATGAACGCGAACCACTTGCTTACTTATTTAATTGATGCACTTCGCTTGTCTATAATAAAAATTGATATAATTAAAAAGGTTTTAAAAATTATTTAATTAATTAAATTCGAAAATAATTTTAATTTAAAATTGAAAATGTTAAATATTAATGTGTTATATTATAATATTATTATAATATTAAAATTATTAAAGTTGAAATTAAAAATTAAAATTGAAATTATATTAAAATTATAAATAATACTAAAATATATTATAATATTAAAAATATAAAATAAAACAAGAAAGATATTGTAAATTATTATTATATCAATTTGTATAAATAAAAAAAAATTAATAAAATTTGTCGGTAAGTTTTTAAAAATTTAGGAAATTTGACAGTAACAATCATCAATAAACACTGCTTGACTAGTAGATATGTTAAATAAAGGTAACTTGTAATCGTAATGCCTAAAGGCAGAATAGCCGGTAACTGATTATCGTCTTGCGCTTCCGGAATCGGATCCGATCGGAATGGCAGGTGGAAAAGCAGGTGATACTTGCAAACCGTGCACTTAACTCCTTGCGAAAAATTTCTTCCTAACAGCGGAAGCGAGCGGAATAAACAGAAATAGTGAATGCTAATCATTTAGTTTACGATTCGAAGCTGAAAATTGTTTTAATAACTTTCAAATAATCAATCAAGAATTAATAAAATGATCTTGTTTTTTAAAAAATTTATTATTTTTAGAATTTCACGAAGAAATTAACAATTAACAAATTAACAAATTATTGTTTGGTGCTTCCGTTTTGCCTGACCGGTGACTGATCACTGCTGTTTGTCTAAAAATTTTTATTGGGGAAATAGCGTAGTGAGGAGAAAATATAGAGATGAAAGTGGAATTTACGACGATATTAGTGGCAAGTATATCGGGTGCATAAGTTGAAGTACCACAAATGCTTCATTTAAAAAAATATAAATTAATCTAAGCTGAATGGAATATAAATTTATGGTAGTGATAAGAGATTATATATCGAGCATAATTATCATATTGACGTGGAACACTTTACTTTACTTTACTTTACTACACTTTACTAATCAGTGGCCAAATTATTTACCCATCTATTTATTTATTTGCTTAATTACTAAATAACTTAGTTATTTATCTCCTATTTTCCTAATTTCATCAAGCAGCACGCATCCTTTTGGTTTGGTTCGTTAAGTTACACTAAGTCATCAACTTACTTACTAAAGAATGGACCAATTAAAGGCTTAAAAATGTAAATGCCTTTAAAATTATTAAATATATTTCGACATTTTTCTTTCCTCTAATGATAAGTGTCGTCGATAAGATGATAAGGTGATAAATTTTATTAACGAAAGAACAAAATTTTCCTATGAAAATATAATTTTAGTGGTGCAACAGGCGCATATACACTAGAAAAATTTTTTTTTTTATAAAACATTAATATTTATATTAAAAGTATTCGATATGACTGAATTTAATAATAAAACTTTTCTTCAAAAACTAATAATAATTAATAATAACAAATAATAATAGTAATAATAAAATGTTAACTAATGTTATTAATATTATTAATATTATCATTTCTTAGCGTTTTCTTTTGGATTGTCAAATAAACGTTAATAAGACAGAATATTAAGAAAGGGAATATTGGTTAGGAGCAAGGCTGAACTCTTGCCTCGGATGAATCTGTCATTATCATTAAAAAACCCGCCGATGGTACTTCTAAGTAGTGCTCACCGGTACTTCCACCGCCAAGTGTTTCTACAGCAAAAAATTCTAACCATAATAATGCTAAAGTTAGCGCAGCTAGCACCAACGACTTAATATTCATATTATTTATTTAAATATTTGGTTACAAACGCCGTAACTAAAAGCCAAAGGCCTTACTTCGGTAGTCGTTTGTTGTAATTATTCATGAAATTATTTTGACAATTTATATTTCTATATCAAGCAACTCTCCGGTGAAACGGATGAAAATATCGGCGATAACCTTACATCAATTATCTGCGTCATTTGAATTGGTTTCAGTTTGTACAGTGGTGAAAATATTGTTAAAAGTGAGTGTTTATCGAAATTAGTTATGTTTATTTCAATAAATTCGTAATGAATAAAATAAACAGCGAATTTTTCTTCTTCTGATTCCTCTCACCATTAGACTGGCTTCGCTGGCTACAAGGGAAAGAGGCATTTTCAAACTATTCGGTCCGTTATCGGTGAGAGTAATGGAAGCCACTGCTTTTTCGATCGTTTAATTCCATATATCGCTCGTCCATCTACATTCTTTTCATGTCTGCATCAGTCCAGGTCTTGATTGGCCTCCTCGCTTATGACACCACTCATCTTAGGGTTTAGCAAGTAGTGATATGTGTGCCAACTCCTGTGGTGGATGAATGACAAAGAATATGTCAGCCAGCGAAGATGGCATTCTGTGATAATAGTATTAATGCAAATAGTATTTGAGCGCAGGTGGATGTAGTCATATTTTACATGCACGATGAACCTGTAAAATCTATTTTAGGCATGAGTGGCTAAGGTAGATATCTTCTTAATATCCTCCACTTTCATTGGCAATATCTCGTATATCAAGATCGAGCGAATCCATAAAAGTTTCGTCAGCCGCATTTCTGGTTACCATTATCAGTCTTTCGCTGTTTGGGATTGAAGTGGATCAAAGATATTTAAAGTCTGGCATTCAGCGATAAGTTGATAAAAATAAGTTGATAAAAAGTTGATAAGTTGATAAAAATAGATATTTTATCAGCTTCTTATGTATAAGACTTTCGTTTTATTAAGTTTTACATTGGCTCTGAATCCTTTCTTACTGCAGTTGTTGGTACATCGTTTAATATCACTTGCAATTCGTCAGAGAAAAGGACTAATTATTTCATCAGCGTATTCAAAATCTATGGACTGATGCTCTGGTTTGGTCTGCCCTCTCGTGTGCAATAAAATCGATTGATGCAAATTGATACAATCGTTATAAGTAACTGTCCTGTAAATCTTACGTGGTCACTATAATTTAATACATATTCAGCGCTATTTCTGATAAGGTTTTCATATCATTGACTGTTGGAATGAGATAGTTTTGCCAGAGGGTTATTAGAGAATTGAAATACTGGTAAATCTCTAGATCACCACAGTTGAATTTGAAAATCTTAAATGAGGCTTACCTGAAATTCTATTCAATTGTATCCTTTCCTTTTTTTCCTTTTTTTGTTCTAATTAATTTTATTATAATTGAGATCAAATAATGATGCAATTTTCGACAAAAGAATGACATACAATATGACTTAAGCCAACTCAGTTCGAGTAGAATTAGTGCGTATCATTTCCAGCTAGTCTCCGTTGGCTATGTTTGAAATTTTTGATTTAATAGTGTTGTGGCACAGATGCATTGCCAGCACAACTTGTGCCAGAATATAGAGTGGTGCTCTGAAACTGAATAACTGAGAAAAGGCAGAAAGTTGGCTAGAAATTGAGAAAGAGTTGTGGGTTATTATAGGAACTGAACGACTGATTTCTACGGTTATG